TGAAAGGTATACAATATTGGAATCCTTCTTTAAGGATATTATTGATCTTCAAACTGGAGATTGGTCTCGATGAATGACCTTAGAACAACAAGAAAAGATAATTATGGAATTAAGAAAAACTTTATTGGCCATGCGAAGAGCTGCAGTTCTTACAACAAGTGAATATGAAAAGAAAAACAGAGAACTTTACGTTTCAGTGGAAGATCATCAAGCTGGAAAAGAGAGAATTACAGATGGATGATATTAAAATAGTACTTCCAATGCCCATTTCTTTATTTGATCATAAATTAGATCAAGCTTATGCAGAAGTCGAAGCTGAAATATCAGGAACTTCTGGTCATATGGGATCATTATTAAGATGTAATTCATACTTCTTTGATGATAATGCAGCTTACTTTTCTTCACCATTATCTGCAAGTTCAGCGAATACTGGTAATAATAGAGCAAATTTCTCAAGACTACCAATACCTCCCGGTTGGTTAAATGTTCAACCACGTGAAAAAGTACTTGAACAAACTAATGAAACGGCGCCAGACATTCCAACAACTGAAATCCAAGAAGAAAAGATTCTGGTAATAGTGAATTTAGTGGTGATAACAATAATAATGTAGAGAGGAGTTTAAATGGTCAAAGATTAAAGAGACCATCTGATGGTCCATCTACACCATCTACACTATCTACACTGTCAACACCAAAAGCTGAGAATATTTCTCCTTCAGAATGTACAAGATCACTTAATAGTCAACCTTTAGAACGCACAAGGTCCATTGGTCAACCTTTGGAATGTACTAGATCCAGTGATCAACATTTAGAATGTACCAGAGCTGGTGTTCATACATAGTAGTTCAACAAGCATGGGTTTCCACTTAGAATTTGGCGATTGTCCATGTGATAGCAGATATTTTAGCAGATCACAAAGCAGTATGGCACGACGAGGTTCCAAAGATATAACAGCAGCATATCATATGCGATAAAGTTCATATGGACGTAGTTAACCTGATAGCGATGATGCAGCAAGCGTAAAAGTACAACTAGTGAATGTGAAAAACATGCATTAATGCGGTATTATTTAAATAGTTGCCGGTATGATAATTCATTTACTAATCGTATCGTACCTGTTCTGTTTGTAATATATATTACTACTACTAAAGTTATAGGTATTACATGTACAAAGGATCATATAATATCATAAAATTCACACAAGCGTCCAACTGATAATTAAAGACGAAGCTAAAGTCACCAAACTAAAAGCAAAGATAAACCAGTGTTCGGCATATGACTTGAAATGACCAAATAATTCAAATGACAAATGACAAATGACATGTCATTTCAATGCTCAAATGACAAATGACCTTGGTCATTTAAATGTAATTTTGGACAACATTATAATTTTTGCCTACACTACATTCATTATTTTTTAATTATAGTCACATGATTATTTATGTGATAAATATTAGCCAATCAAAATCAAATGATTGAAATGACCAAATGACAAATGATTATGAATAATGCCATAAATCATTTAAATGGTCAAATGACCAGGTTATTTCCAAACACTGAGATTAAGGTTGCTGGAGAAACTAGGGGGTTTTGGCAAGTTGGTGAAATGCCGAAATAGCGAAACTTTGCTGAAACTATATAAAAGTCTTATTAAAAAGTTGGCGAAACTCTGGAGAAAGCGAAACTTGACAAAACTTATTATAAATGCCGAAATTGCTGAAACCTTGCCAAAACTATAATAAAACTATAGTAAAATCTTGGAGAAACTAATCATAGAATTTTGGAGAGGTTTAGGCAGGTAACCTTAACTGAGATAAACAGTTAATAAAATGAAAATGATTATAATTTATTACTTTTAAATAGTTTGAACTATTGATATTTTTAAGCAGTTAATTGAGATCTTTATTGTAATTTATGAACTATATAATAAAATTGCCAAATTTACTTTATTTGCTATATATAAATTTTATTGATATTACGCATTTGTAATTGTTATTGAACATGCAAAAGACTACTGTCTAAATTTGAATTATGTAATAGAAAAGGTAATAGAAAAGAAAATATTAAAGAGAAATATCATGAGAAAGAGAATTTTAATCAACAAAAACATCATATTATAATCAGCGATAATTGTGATTTATCTATCATAGTTGTATAACGTCAATATTTTAATTCGTGATTCATTTAAGAAGCGGAGAAATTCATATATATTTCATGTGAATGTAGCCGGCTTACCTGTTCAATCGTTATTCCATGAGAGTATAAAGAATATTCGGATTCCAAGCGCATTTTCTAATATCTTTCCCGCCTATAAAAATGAATATAATAACAACACTGTCTATCACTAGAGTCTTTATGGATTCCAAATTATAGAAAATTTTCACTGTTTCTTGGACGAATCACGAATTAAAATATTAAATTAATAATTAATTAATAGTATGATTAGCATCATGTCCATTCATACCTGTATATTATTACCATAATACTTTACTGTATACTCGCATTAAATGTCACATCATACACATACAAGCTCAGAAACACTGACAGGAGATAATGTTTTCGATTGTTTACAAACACATTTGATGTAGTGTCGCCAGTGTTACCAGTATCTCCAGTGTCTCCAGTGGATATCCTAGTGGTGTGGAAGATACTTTAGCAGCATTAAAAAGGAGGCGTCTGAACTAAAAGTATAAGCATAATTTATTAATCTTAGAATTACTAATATAGTAATATTAGATTTTTAATTCTCTCAAAATTTAATATCTTTTTCAGACTAATTATTAGCGGCTAATAAATCTCTCAGGATATTTAATAATTTAGAAACTTTCTCACTTACATTTAATTTCTTTGTTCATATTGTAAAAATTTATTTGTAGATATAAGTGTACTTTTATTTTCTTTTTTATTATTTTTTCTTTCTTTTTCTTTTATTTTTTTTTCCTTTTTCTCCTTCTTTCTTATTATTTCACAACTATAGATGGTAACCAAAAAAAATATTTTTTTTTTTTTAAAAAAACAGGTTTTTTTGATTTTTTTTTCGAGACAAAAAAAATATTTTTTTTTTTGTTATTAGATTAACTTTTTTTTAAAAAAAATTATTCCTTACCATGGGTGAGATTTGATATTAGCCCAGGTCAAATAAATTGTCAAAAATGACAAAATGGAATTTATGACCTTTTAAATAATCCTACCTTTGTTAAAACCTTTACAAACACGCAACAGGAGATTTATTATGAGGAATTGATAAATTACATTGAAATGAGAAATTGGGATTAGATTTAATAGTTATTAGTATAGATGAAATTTTTTCTCTGTTAGAAAAGGTTTATCACTATAATAGTGTAGTTAGTTGAAAAATAACTAGCCGCAATGTAATCTGGACCCGGCTCAGGTGTAGATTGTTGTGGAATTCCAAGGGATTTCTTGCGATTAAACCGGGTTGGGATGATCAGCAATCAGGAATTAGGCTCCGTTTTTTGGCTAACTACACCATTATGAATTTCACATACCATTTTTAATTTAATTCATAATAAAAAAAAGTTGACTCAAAAAAATTCAAATAAAATTGGAAATCGTTTCCTATTTTTAATTTATTTTTTCTAAAAAGTGTTTTTATAAATTCAAATATTCATGTTTTTATTCTTCTTTTTGTAAAAGAAAATTCTCAATATCTCACTATAATTAGTTACAGTTGCATTAATTTATAGTTATGATGATTTTTTAAATTCTAATTTTGAAAAAAAGATACGATCATTAAAAATTTTAGTTAAAAAGGTCTTAGTAAAAATAATACTTATAAGGGTTTTAAAGAAATGTAGTGTTCATTTTTTCATATGGACCTTCAGTTATCAAAAAAAAAAACTATCAAATGGATCCTATTGAAAAAAAAGAAGACTATACATTGTATAAATAGAATAGAAAAATCAGGGTAATTTTATAGATAATAATAAATAAAGTATTTCAATTATTATATTATAAATAAAAAAATTCTGATTAATAAATTTCTTACTTGCCAAATTTTATTCATTTTTTTCATTGGCTATAGTTTGTTGTAATTAATAAAAAGAAAATCCGTTGAAAAATTGAAGGTTCGCGATAAGTCTCTATGTGCTTCCATTATTAATAGGTATGTTAGATCAAAAATGTCTTCTTACGATTATGTTTAATTATAAAAGAAAGTATATATAATAAAATAAGGTAAAAATTTTAACTATCATTATTTTAGGGCAATGTGTTTACTATTTTGTAAATTTTTATAAAAATAAATACTGTAAACTAATGATCTAAAATTTTAAAATTTGAATGAGAAAAGTTTATTAAAAAACTTATTTTAATAGAAGTATTTTTAAATTATTTTTTGCTTTCTCAAGTCCTTGTTTGGCAGATTTTTCATACCAATAAATCGCTTTATCTATATCTTTTGTAATTCCATCTCCTTTTTCATACAATATAGCAAGATTATTTTGTGCTACATCATATCCTAAATTTGCTGATTCTCGAACTAATTCAAATGCTTTTTGGTCATCAATTTTAGTTCCAATACCATTATTATAACAATATCCCAACATAAATAATCCCGTTATATGTCCTTCTTCAGCTGATTGCTTTAACAATTCAAAAGCTTTATTATGGTCTTTTTCAATACCCTCTCCATTTTTATATGAAATACCAAGATTATATACTGCATCTATAATTCCATTATTTGCAGCTTTTTCATAATATTCAAAAGCTAATTTTTCATTTTTTATAGTTCCATATCCATGATCATAACACAAACCAACAAAATTTTGTGCTAATGTATGATTTTTTTCTGATGCATTAATAAACAAATCAAATGCTTTATCATTAATTTCACTTGTTATAATTCCATAATAATTGAAATATCCAAGAATAAAAATAGAATTTGAACTATTTTGATTATTTAATAACCAATTATAAAATTCTTGTGAATTTAAATTATGATTATTAAAATATTCAATAACTTGCTGCTTTTCTAATTTCCAATTGATTCCTTTATTTCCTAATTTATAAATTAAATCATTTATTTCATCAACTATAATATTAAAATCCTTTTCAGTTGAAAGATTTTCTTGTTTACTTGATATTGCCATAGAATCAATTTCTTTAGTATTCATTTTATCAAAATTTTGAAAAGGTTGAGATAAATCTCGTAATTCTAAATTATTAGTACTTATAAAAAAATCATTTTCTTGTTCATTTGACATTTGATGGTTATCTACTATTACATCTGATTTTGTAGTTATTTCATTTAGCCAATCAACTACTTGATATATAGTTGGACGATTATCTGGTTCCCCATCCCAACACTCTAAAACCAAACATAATTTAGAATTAATAATATTTAGAATATAAAATTTAAAAATTAAAATATTACTCACCGGTATAAATTTTAATATATTCTTCAGGAGTATCAGGAACAACAGTTTCTCTAAGACCTTGTAAAATTTCCACAGCTAAACCAATATCATATTCTTCATCCTCAACATAAAAAGGAGGCTGCCCACTAGATATTTCCCAAAATAATACGCCTATACTATAAATATCACTTTTTTCATTTAATGAGAACATTTGTGTTGATTGATTATTATTATTTCTTCGTCTACTAAAGCTTTTTGGATCGACATAAGGAACCACACCAAATAATTTAGATTGAAGATTAGACGATGCTCCAATTCTTTTAGATAATCCAAAATCTGCTAATTTGATTGTGTTATTACGGACTAGTATATTACAGGAGTGCTATTAAAAAAACATATATATATATTCAATTTTTTTTAATTAATAATACAAATACATTATGATTAATGATTAAATAATGTTAAATAAATTACCAAATCACGATGCACTATTTTTTCATTATGTAAGCATGATACGGCACAAGATAACTGGTATGCCATATTATATTTGTCATCCCAAGTAAGCTTGTTAAAATTTTTCTTTAAATAACTTCGAAGAGTACCACCGTCGGCGTATTCCAATACTAACCGATAATTATTATGATTTTCTAATGAATAAAAGAAGTAATTACTAAATGAATTTTTGTAAAATTTTGCGATTAAAAGAATATTATATTTATCAATGTGATGTTAATAATACCTAACTCAAGTTTTGTTACTCCATAGCAACTAATAATGTTATCATGGAAATCAACTTTGCGTTGAATTTTTAACTGAATAAAAAATAAAATATTTGAAATAAACATATTAGATAAAAATTCATAGACGAAAAAACATGTATTATACTGCATTAAAATACCTCACGAACGATTTCTTTCATGGTGAGGTTATTAAGACTAATAAACGATTTTAATGCAACTAGTTTTCCTGAATTTTTCCAATTTGCACGATATACGTTTCCGAAACCTCCAGTACTAATATGTTGAATATTATTAAAATCTTCATATTCATAAAATTTTAAATATTCTTTATCAACAGCTTCTTCAATCCAATTGACCCATTCATTTGTATTATTTGTATTTTCGGTATCTTGCATTTTGATATTATCGAACGTATTGAATAATAATAAGCTAACAGAAAGTTAAAAAATGAAAAGTAAAAATTGTTAAAGTTTTATTGTGTATGCCTATTATATAATTTTTTTTCTCCGAATAGTCGCACAACGTACAACGTGATTTTTAGTATTACCAAACAAAAAAGTCAATCAATCGATACCTGAGGCCTGAGCCATGGTAGCGCAGTACCGCAGTACCGCAGTAATTTACATATAAAACGTCATCGTTAAAATTTATTATTTTTTGCAAATTTTTTTTTTCCATAAAAAAATAAATCTGTTAAGGGATTATCAAAAAATTATGATTTTTTTTTTAACTTTAGTCTTACATACGAAATAGTTAAGTTTGTTAGACTTGAAATCAATTTTTTTATTATTTTGATGGTCAGATGAGTGACTCTCTTCCATTCGAAGATAAACTCCCTAGTCCTGAAGGTATATTGAAAAATACTATAATTTGTATTATTATTTTCAATTAAAAGTATTATAAGTCACATAATTATTTTCGGTTCTATTATTAAAATATATACAACTTTTTTCATAGAAAGAAAATCATGATAAATAAAAATTTATTTTACGTTATTTGAATAAAATTGAATAAATGATTCCTATCACAATCATTCCAACAACATATTTGGAATTTTTTTTAAAATGTTTTATTATAAGATGAAAGAAAGAGTATTCTTATTTATCAAAAAGTATCATTACAAAGTTTACATTTATATTGTTGTTTAGAATAATATAAATATAATAAATGTTGCCTTTTTTAAAAAAAAAATTTAGAGGTTTTTTTTTTATTTCTTTCATATTGAGAAAGTTTCAATTTCCAAATTAGAAATTTTCCACTCATCAATTAAATGAATAAGGAGAATGATGATTTACAGCCAATTTTTTTGGTAAAATATATTATCAAATTTTGTTGCTATCACACTGGTAAAACTTCAATATTTGAACAAGTTATTTTAATTATATGAAAATATAATTCGATTAACGGTAGTGATAAAGTAATAAAATTCAGTAAAGAAAGAATTTCGAGTTTTAGTAAATAAATTTCTTTTAAATTATTAACATCAACACTATTTTCATTTTAAACAACTATGAAAACAAATTTTTAATTCCACTAGATTAATAAGAATCGAAATTGTTTGAATAATTAAAGCGCAATTACAAAGTTCAAGAATTCTCTAAGAATTAGAATAATAAGAATTATCGTGTTTAAATTTATTTTCTTTCAAATTTTTTGTGAGAGAAATAAATAGCACTTACAGTATATTAACATTGTAATTTATCTTTGAAACTGAATTTCTGCTGCTTTTTGACACCAATGAAAGGCTTTTGAATTTTCAGATTCTATATTTTCCACACAAAATTCAATATGAAAGATTTTTGATAATTCAAGAATTATATCCTCAAGGCAAATTATAATATAAGTCTTTAGAGTTAAAAATGATAATAAAGATTTGTTTATCATTAATATCACCAAATATACCTTCGACGATTAATTTATTTATATCTCCTGAAAAAATCAATTGAATACAGTCGTCCAATGGTTATGCCGAACCTACAGTATATATACCGAAAACTTGTTATAGCCGGAACATTTTATATTTTCTAACGGTCATGTGACTATATTAATTTAGCCAATTTCATAGTATAACTAATTTTTATATAATTCTGGCCAGCGCTATAAATGTGGCCTAAATTACCTAGTATCGAAAACTAGTTCAGTCTAACGGGATTCAAAAAAAATCAAAATGAAAAAATAATAGTGTAATCGGATTATATTCTTTTTTATTTGATCATTATGCCAAATAATCTTAAATTAAAAATAATATTACTTTTGTAATCTAGTTTATACTCTACTTTTGCCAAAATTTGATTTATCTTCTTTTATAAATCACTTACATAATACTTAATAAGAAAAATAATCTATCAGTAAACGGATACCAGATTATACATACTATAAAATTAATTTAAAAATTGATCATAAGCTCATGGTTTGAAAACATCCTACGCCAAAAAAATATATCATGATACTTTAAAACTATTACTTTAACTTCAGAAAAAAAAAACTTTAAAAATATCTAATATCTTTTATAATTTTTATAATTGTAATTTATAGTTTTAATGTGTAGCCTCGTAAGTTGCTCATTTCAAAAATGGTTAAATAAATTTTTATTAAAACATTAACAAGAACGATTTTAATAGATGCTGGTTTACCTGCAACATACTCTATTTTGATTGCAGTTACGGATGATAATAAAACTATGTTGAGTTGTGCTTTAGGCACTAATACTAGTTAATTATTATATTTCGGATATTATATTTTTTATTAAATTAAATTTTTACTTTGTTATTTACTTTTATTTTTTTTAGTTTATATTTTAAATAAATTTTATTTATTTGTTCAAACTTGTTAACATTTTTACCTGTTTTTATAACTCATATTATGTTTAATAAATAAAATTGATCAAAATATATCAAATGTAATAGTAACAAAAAAAAGCAATAATTATTACATATTAATATATTAAAGACGCACAGCATTATAAATTTGTAAAACTGAATTGATAATAATAATGAAATATAACCTTATCGTTGAATCAGACATTCACTCTTGTATAATAGGTCGTTATATGATGTAAGTATGTGAAGCCTTTTCAAAAGCACGTAGTGCTATTTTTCTTTGGTATTACAGGTAGGTAATACAGTAATTAGAAAAATTATTTTTCAAAACTTTACATCACTAATATAAATGAATTACAAAATAGCCCAACTTTGTCATAATGTGATAGCTTCATGTACTAGATATAATAATCGCAAAAAAAAGAATATAAACTCAGAAACTACACAGTGAAATTCGAAATAATGGAACCTCAATAAACCGGAACTGGCCTTATACCGGAACTTTTTTCCGGAACCAAATCACATTAAAATAAATTTGATATAACGGAATTTATTAGTAAATTCTCGATAATGGCTATAACGGAATAATGGAACAATATTAAAAATGATTCGATTTACCGGAACACGTGACGATTCACGGTTTTAAACCAATAAAATTAGCAGCGTGATGACCTTTTAGAAATTTTAGTGGAATACGCAAGCTTTGAAGACTCAGATGAATATATTGACTAGGAATGTTGAAAATATTGAAGAATCTTTATCACTTTATAAGGATGTAATATAAATAGAATTTCCTAAATAAGATTGTTTATTTGGAAATATTAATATATGTGAAAGTATGAAAGCCCTAAAAATAAATCGATCATACACGAAATTTTTTTTTTTACACTTTAATCACGAACTTTTTTATTGAAAATATGTCTAATAGTGAAGTAAGAAAAGCAAAAACAGGTAGGACAGATGATTTTTTTTAAGTTTTAGTTAATTTCAGTGTATAAAATTTCTCAAATAACGTTTTAAATAAAAAATAATCTAAATTTTCAATGTTCGTCGCACATGTCGCACAAATAAAAACGATTTATATATAAAATCCGGTATATCGAAATTTATTGATATATTGGAAGCCTCGATATACCGGATATTTTTACTGGAACGGATGGTTCCTTTATATCGAATTTCACTGTGTATTTAAATAACTACGCCACGGCCGCCACGTGATAATAGTGATAATACTAATTCTTTATAATAAAAGCTAACATCTTTTTATGACATCCTTTAAATTTAATAAAATTTACTATAAAATGTAATAAAACATTTATTATAAAATTTTATTTTTTTTTTAGCTTGGTTAAAATATCTACAAGTTTATGCTTTTATTAGACATTTAACTGTAAAAAAATTAATTATTTTATTATAAAATTCGTTCACTTTACAATCTTTAAAGTATTAATTCCTTACTGAAACTAAATTAGATCATTTAGGCTGATTATATTTTTCTCCTTTATAGTTCCATAAAGACCATTATTAACTGTTAATACCCTTCCGTTGTTGGTTAATTATTTGAATAATCTAAATAATTAAATAGGTATTATACTTTTTCATTCTTCAAAGGCGGTTTTGCAAGTTATAGTGTAAACTTTGTTTTACTCACCAATAACCTCATAAATTCTAACGAACTAATTTACAATTATGTCTAATAAAAGAGCGCTAAATTCAACATCATGTTAGATGTTTCAACATGGAATTATATTATAAGAGACAATGATATAAAACGCATTGGTATATTAGGACCCCGAGCAATACTGAAATAGGTAACAAGAAATAACGCGTAGAATAGGCTAAAATAATCATGAAAATCTTTCCTTTTTTAGATAAATTTTGATAACGTTGGTAAGAAATATATTACTTTATTTAGTAACTGACTGACATTATCATAATTCCGGCCCTGAAAAAATGCGTAGAGCTAATAGTAAAATTTTGCCAATTTCCTATGACCTATTTATATATTGTTCGGGGTCCTGGTATATTCACTTTAGAAAACATTTCTTTTGTAATAATTTATTAACTAATTGCAGTAAAACTGGTGGATTATTGTATTGTTTAGTAATATTTAGGTAATAAACTTTTCAAACTAAAAATAAGAAAACCGTTGCATATGGATTTATAAAAGGTTGACATTTGTTCCTCTTATATTGACCGATAAAAAGATAAGAAACTTTTATTTCAAAATAAAAAAATATACATTCATTAAATAAAAACAAATAAGGTTTACGGGATAGATTATAATTTCGTGCCAATTGTATATTAAATAAAGTTAATACCTGTCTCTTATACACATCTAGATGTGTATAAGAGACAGATTTATAATTTCGTGCCAATTGTATATTAAATAAAGTTAATACCGGGAATTTTTTTTTTTTTTTTTGTTTTCTAAAGTTTTTAACGTGTAATAAAGTCATAAAACTTTTAAGGGTTTAGGACATTTTGTTTATACCATATTTTTAAAAATAATTCAATAAATATTAAAAATGTAATCATCGTTGATTTTAGTTAGACAAAATTTATTACCGTATTCAAATCTGCGAAAGACCGAAAGTATTGATAATAATCTTTATTATTTTTATTCTAATATCATTAGAATCACCTTAGTTAAAATTTATTTTATCATATTACAAAATTATTTTTTTTTTTGGGAAAATAAATATTAATAAATTATTTAGCTGGTATCAAACCCATTTTATATACTATCATTAGATTTTACTCAAAGAGCTTTTAGTTAATTATTATTTCTTGATTAGTACGTTCATACTTTTCACACACGTGATAGCATTGTTCACCAAAACATTTCCGTTAAATTCCGCAGGTCAGTTAACATCTTTTTTCTTCGAAGATTTGTCAAACATGATATCACAACGATATTTTATAATGGAATCCATCTTAAAATTATTAAATTACATTATGATATAGCTTTTTATTGTTACGTCATTGTTTTGGAGACCGAGACTGAAGTATTACATACTTAAAATGACTAACTTTTATTAGCAAATTAGCTGGGATTATTATAATAAATATTTTAAAATATTTGTGACTTTATAGATTAGTAAAATGTTCAAAAAAAAGCAAAAATAATCAAAAATCATGTGACCGATAACGGAAATGAACCCTTATTTGGTAAAAGGATTTACAATTTACTAAATTAGTTTGTACTAGAGATTACTTAGTGAATCATTTGGTTACACAATGTTTATGAATGTAACTTTATAAGTAGAATTTCGGAGACCGCTCCAGAAATATTTTTTTTTCCGCTTCAAACTTATTTTAAAAAAAATTTTACAGTATATTTATTTTATTATGTCTGCTATTAGAAAAAGTTTAATTTATGCTGCAATTAATAGAGCATTTGCACTAACAGATTATAATATTTACAATAAAAGACACAAACAAGTGGAATTTCAAAAACAAATAATTCTTGCTGATGAATCACTTACAAAAGATGAAAAATCTGAAGCAGTAAGAAAATTAACTAAAGTTTATGACAGTAGTAAAATTGTTTTTAATAAAGGAATAAGAAGAGTTTGTGAAAATTGTAACCAAAAATGTTTAGCTACATTATATTGTGAATTTTGTGTTCGAAATTATTTAAAAGCAAAATTTTCAAATTGGACATCTGGAAATGATGACATTGATAATTTAATACAAGAATGTCAAATGAAAACAATTGAACCAGATAGTATAGTTGAATGGATTCCATATAGTAATTTAAAAAATATTAATTATTTAACAAAAGGTGGATGCTCTGAAATCTATACAGCAGAGTGGATTAATGGAAGTTATAATGAGTGGGATTCTAAAGAACAACAATTAAAAAGATTTAGGAAACAAAACGTGGTACTTAAACGATTAGAAAATGTTGAAAGTGCAAATAAACGTTGGTTTGAAGAGGTTTGTAATCTAATAATGTTACAATTATTATTTAAAAGCTTTTATAATATTTTCTTTTTTTTATAGGCTATTTCACATTTAAATATAAGTAATAAATGGCCAGATGCGATTGTTCCATGTTATGGTTTGACACAAGATCCATTAAATGGAGATTATATGCTTGTAATGAATGAATTGGATATAGATTTAAGAAAATATTTACAACAAAGTCATACTCAACTTACATGGAAAGAAAGAATTCAAATTGCTGTTGATATAATTGATGCACTTTTACGAATTCATGATGAAAATGCAATTCATAGGGATTTGCATTCTGGAAATATATTACTTATTATTGGTGAAGGGTGTAATATTAGTGATCTTGGATTTTGTGGACCTGCAGATAGACCATCAAAAAGTATATATGGAAATCTTCCTTATATTGCACCAGAAGTTATTGCAGGAAAAGAAACTACTTTTAAATCTGATATTTATAGTATTGCAATGCTTATGTGGGAGATTTCATCTGGTCAACCACCATTTATTAATTATGAACATGATTATTATCTTGCAATGAAAATAATTGAAGGTATAAGACCAAAAATTGTACCAGGAATTCCTATAGAATATAAAAACCTATTGATACAATGTTGGGATGCTAATCCACTAAACAGACCAGATGTTAAAACCCTTCTGGATAAAATAAGAGAAATTAATTTATATTACCAAAATACTAACTCAAATGAATCAACTAAATTAGAAGAAAATGATACTAGATCGGAAATGAATAACTTAGAAAATTATACTAGCAGTAGCAAATTATTTACGAGTAAAGTTCATCAATTTGAAAATCTTCCTGAACCAAGAAATGCAACTGAAGGTATTTATTATAATATTAATAAATAGTATAAAAAAGTTAAATAACTAATATAATATTTTCCCTTTTTAATATAGAAGAGCAACAGGGTATAAATTAAGCAATTTTTTTATAAATTTTATTTATAAATAATTAATGATAGATTATCTCCTTTTATTAGCATTTCACAGTAACAAATCATATGACTTTCATATTCCTAATCATAGTAAGTATTTATAAGTTTATATTAATAATTAATATGTTACAATATATTTATTAATTGATTTTGCTTTTTAAGTTGATGATATTGGTAAATTGAGTAATCAAAGTAATAATTCTTCAAAAATAAGTGGGTAATTTATTTTTTAAAATATTTATTTTTATTTTGAATTTGCATTAATTATTTTTAAAAATTTTTAGCTAACAGTAACAAATCATTCAAAAGAAGATTAGAAAATGGCAAGTAAATAATTGGATATTTGTCTAATTTTCTAATATTAAATGTTATTTTGCTTTAATTATTAGATTTTCAAGAAATAATGCAACAAATGAAGAGAAATCGTATTAATATTGATGGTATACTATGCAAATAATTATTTAACCTTTTATAATAATGATATTTAGCTTAGTAATTTATATTACCAAATTTTTATAGATGAAGAAGAAATATATAATAATCCAAATTTTCATTCTGAAGAACAAGATGAATTTGAACTTCCCGAGAGTAAGTATTTTGAAAGATTAAGTTTGTTTAGTCAAAAAATTTTTTAATTACTAAAATTCCATTTTTTATTTAAAATAATATTCCTTCTAACGTATTTAGATATGGATGAAAACTAATTGACATTAGTATTACATTATTACATTTATAAATTATTTAAACACTAAGACTAGAGTAGTAAGATTAAAGATGCTTAGTTTGTAATTTAAATAATTTATTTTCTTTCATATTATAACTTACTGTATCAATAAATTACTTTATAAAATTATTCAAATCATATACTATTCATTGATTTATATTTTACGAAAACCAATGAAATATTTATTTTTTGATAATTGTCGCAATAAAATTTTAAGTTTGTAATTTCTTTATAGTTTGCGCCTTACATTATTATTTACAAGCGATGATCGAACTTTAGCAATTATTTTGTATTTTTATTTTATTTATTTTTGTAAATTTAACAATCAGTGAATTCTTGAGTAGATAAATTTACTACAAATAATTGAAGAGTTTATTATAAAATTGATAAAATTACATCTAAAAAAAAAAAAATTTTTTTTGTTAATTTTAATATACCAAATACCAATCTTAGACAACTTCCTTTTTTAAATCTATAACACGAACAAAGGTTCTTGTACATTTTGAGTTGAAATGTTATTTCTCGTTTATTCTAAAATTTAATAATTTTAATAATTTTAATGAAAGTTTAGTTTTATAGATTCGTAATACGTTATATTTATAATCTATAAATTCATCTATTTTCTCTCTCTTTGTAATGATATTTTCTTTTTCACAACCAACTTGTTTTAAGATGACAATTGATGATTAACTGTTGCTTTAAGGATTATTAATTGTCTTTTCTTTCTATTCTCATTAAATATTTGTTCAAATATCAATAACAGCAAAGAAAAATAAGATTTTACGATTTCTATTTTCTGTTAAAAGTGGTCTGCAACTTCAAACATTTTTTTTTTTTTGATACCTTTTCAGAGATAAGTGGTGATAATTTGTTAGGAAAGTTCGAAAATAATTAAAAATTACCATTTATCACACGTCACAGTCGTCACATTATAATCTGTCTCTTATACACATCTAGATGTGTATAAGAGACAGGTACTGTATTGATATATCAAAAAAAAAAAAAATTAATTTTAATACACTCATTATCTTCATATTCTAAAGAAAAGTTGAGTGCTTTTAATTAACAATCTTGAATATAAACTGTGTTACATTTTGAACTATTTTACACCAAAAGATTATAATTGGTTTTAGAAAAGGCTTTTACTAGTCAAATCAGAGAATCAGATGGGAAGGAGAAAAAAATCCAGCGATATACAAAAAAAAGGTTATATAGAGATTTTATTGTTTTGGTGAAAAAAAAAATGTTTCATTTGAATTAATTATCTTTGTAACAATTCTTTTTACAATATGGAGTCGTTCATGATTTTTTTTCGAAAATTGATAAAATAATTCCTTTTTTTCAAAAATTCGACTTCCCATATATATCATGTTAGGATTTTGATATTCGCTTTTGGTCTAGCGTGTTTGACTATAGTATATATTTATTTATTATATATCGCTCATATACTGGAATAAGCGTGTATTTTCCAAAGTAATTTAAAATATTTAAACTTTTCTATGTCAAAATAATACCAAAAATGATTTATAAAAAAGGGTGATTTTGGCCAAAAGTCCACTATGACCTCCTGTATAATAGATATCTGGAATCTAGCCTATTTTTAAAAAGTTGAAATTAGAGTTATGCGATTTTCTCAGCATCCAGTAATTTAATTTTGATGTTTTGTGGCAAACTTTGATTCTTAATTTTAGTGATATCTCATCCCTTTTAATGATAAGGCAAATGATGATGCTAGGTTATTTATTCTATAAATTTAAATGAGGACTACGCAAATTTGGAATGATAAGCTTACTAATTCTTTAAGCGGAGTTGAAATGAATAATGCTATAAATTGAAATTCGTGAACATAAATATTGACTAAATAATTTAATTGATTAATTAACCAATTAAAATGGTTAACCAGTTTAAAAGGTATCTTAAAAATTTTATTATGTTAATTGGTTCCAACCTCCTTCACATATAAGAATAAATTTACAAATTTTCTATTTATCGCTACTGGTGATCATCACCAGTGTCACATGTTCATAATATCACATGATTAAAATTTGACAGTTTTAAGCTTTATAATATTGCAGATTGAGTACACTATTAGACAAATAAAAAAACAATTAACATTACACTGATTAATAAAAAAATCTAGTAATTATTATTATAAATCTCATATAAATTAGGTTTGTCTCTATTAATGAGATTTTATTACAAAATAATTAGGCAAGTACCAAATAAAATTATTTATTTCCATGAAAAATTTATATTAAATTACTTTTGATTATTACTATTTTTTATTATTGTTATTAGAAAGAAAATTACATCAAACTTTTTTACTAAAAAGAAATTTTTTTTTTTTGTTTTACCTAATGATAATAATATTGATATAATTGTGGGTTTCAAGTAAAAGATTTATTTTTATTGGTAGTAAATGTTTTCTAATATCATAGTCTATAACCGTTTCAAAATGATGATGATGTATTATTCAAGGGGTGTATCAAAAAAAAAAAAATGATTACGGAGTTGAAACCCAGAAAATTTAATTTTGGGAAAAATAAAAACTTAAAAACTGGAGCTTTTATTTTTGAAATTATTGTTTTAATTTAGATAAGCCTTAAAAAGAAAAGGTTTCGGAAAAAAAAAAAAATGAAAGATGCGCTTCTTTCTACATAATTTCATTATTCTATTTAGGAATAATAGTGAATTTTTTTTCAAAAAAAAGGTAAAGGTAATTATTACACACTTTACTAAGTTAATCATTATTTTCATAGTAATTTCAGTGATTATGATTATATTTTATTACGTATTATATGTTTTCATTACTTTTTTCAATATATACTGACTGTATTAGACTGTATTAACCTACCACGTGCAAAGAGGAAGCTTAAAGCATATTCTAAATTTAGAAATAAGCATCAACTTTAAGCTTAAGCGTATGTAATACTATAAAAATGCTGGAAAAGTCTAAACCAATATTTTGGGCATCAAACTAACCGTATATTGTCCTCTAAGGTAAATATCAGGCATAGTAATTTAATATAGATTAAAATTTTATTAATATAGGCTATAATCAAAATGACGAATAATTTATTCGTAATTATTATTTGGAATAATGATGTTGATATTTTCTATACAAAAATCAAATGAAATCACTTATTCCCTATAAGATAACTGAATAGGTTTTATAAGAATTTATTAAATATTCACTAAAGAAATTTATTCCACAGATTGGATATATATACTGTAGAAGTTAATGATGAATGAAATTTAAAATAATACTCAAAAGATTAAAGAACGTTGAACGCTAATTTGATGAGATGTTGCATATGTAGTATTCTAAGTATTAGATATCAATATTATAAAATCTTTGAAATTTATTAAACATTGCCAATTAGCTAAATTTTGGTAATATGATTTCTTCATAAGTTTACGTATCAGCTAGAAGTCTTGAATATATACTTTTGAATATCTGCTACTATATTCGTTTTTTTTAAAAAAAAATAATTAAAAAAATATAGATTATTTCTTAATATACACTAGTGTGCGAAACACGCATCACGTGAATTGACTATGAATAAATTTTTATTAGTGTGCGAAACACGCATCACGTGAATTGACTATGGATAAATTTTTTAATATATATGTAGCCGTGTGCGAAACACGCATATGATTTATGATTTGTATTTACGCGTAACGCGAAATTTATTTGCGTTTTTTGCTATACTTACTCTCTTCTTTCTTTCTAAAAATTTCAGTTTCGCAAGTTTCTTGTTTGTCATACAAAATACTAAAAAAATCTTCAACTCATATAACCCATATATTGAAGATGTTGCAAGACATATCGAACCTATTAAAGTGCATTATGGTTATCATGTGACTATCATTTTTACTTTGTCACCCGCAGCAGGTTGAAAATTTTTCATCAAAAACTTTGTCATATAACATCTTCTTTACTCCATAAAAGTTGAATAAAAACACTCTTGTTGAACTTTTTATCAAAAAAAAAAAAGCTTGGATTTTTTTATAATTTTCCAAAATATTTCATCTTTTTGTTAAAACACCATTGATCGTTTGGACGATTGGTCGATACTTCTTTATTTTCCAAAAATAAAAAAAAAATTCAAAAAATATACATAATCTATAAAAAAAGAATAATAAAAGTTTATTTTAATAAGGAGGAACTCAAAAATTAATAAAATTTGTAACTCTTAAGTCTCTTCACATATAACTTATTATCATTTTTTTTTGACCATAAAATTTTTGGTTAAGTCTCGATCGAAAGGAAGAGTTTTTTTTTATTGTTTGAAATCTCTTATTACTCTTGTAATAACTATTAATGAAAAATATGTTTGTTAAAACTTCATAAGAATTTGGTATCCAGAGTTCAAACTAATCAGGTTTTACAATATCAAAAAAAAAAATTAACAAATGTCCATATGTAATAAAAGATTTTTTCTTTATTTTACTTAATATGAATTGAAAAATTCAATTTACATTATTATTAAATATTGCGCATCCTTTTAAATACTCACAAAATGTTTTAAATTTCTTAATTTAATTTTAATTAATAATTCAGTACAGGAAACTATAATACCTGATTCAGTTTTTAAAGGAGTTTCTTATCTATTAAATCAATTTCATATTTTTAAGTAATAAAGTCATTAAACAAATTAATTCAATCATTACCAACTTTCTTCCTAGACAAACTCTTAGTCCCCCACCAAACGAAATAAATGAATTTTTCTTAACCTTCAATCATCCATTTATCAGGATAAAATTTATTTGGTTCTTCCCAATATTTTTCATTGTTATGAATACCGTCAATATTAATTCTAATAATTGTTTTACCATTGATAGCCTCCTATTTCATCATGTTTTCAAGACATCTTAATTTACGACTGAGAAAATGCGAGATACTTCTTTTACAATCGCTTAACGATACGTTAAATTATGAAAATCATTTTCGGTAACTGGACGTGTCTTGTCATCTTGAAGATTCTATCAATTTCGTTCAACATTTTCTTTTTAACATCTGGATAATTTACAAGATAATAGATAATGAATGAAATAGTATTCGCAGTCTATTGAAGAAAAAAATAAAATTTAAAATAATATCTTTAAAATAATTGAAACATCAATAAATCCAAAAAATATTTACGAATTTAATGATGCGGATAATCATATCATTTTATCATTTGTAAATTGATTACATGTAGAAATATCCACAAATTACATTAAAAAGTTTATTTACCAAATGAGGAAGCTTCATTGACAAATTTTTGTGATTAAATAGCTTGTGTAAATTGTGTAAATTGATGTCGATTATATCTTCAAGATTTAACAATATTCCCTTTCACATTATCCCTAATTCATGAAACCCTCTACCATTTTTATCAGAAAATTTCCTAAATATATAGATTTTTTGATGAGGCTAATAAAGTTTTTCAATATATTCTATTCGATTTAGAGCTATAAAGCGTGTATCTAAATAGAACTCAAATAAATCACCATGATATTTTATGATTAGATTCGAAAAATTTTATGAGATTTTTACCATGCAATATTTATATAATTGAGGTAAATTTCCAGAATGGGAATGGAAAAGGACTAGGTAAAGGATTGATACGATTAAAATATTTATAATAATAATGTGTCACATAAACAAGAGGTCATTTTCATGGGGGAGTTTGACATACTTTAAAAGATCTTTTAAGTGAAAGTTATTGTAAAAAAAAAATGACTTCAATTTATAAATATACAAATTGTTGATCTCTCCTTTAACAAAAAGGAGAAATATGGCATGATGGTAGATGAAGAGGAGTGATGGGAGACGAAAAGGAGTGATGAGAAGATGAAGAGGAGTGATGAGAAATAAAAAGGAGTTATGGGAGACAAAAAGAAGATGAAGAGGAATGATAGGAAACGAAAAGAAGTGATGGGAGACGAAAAGGAGCGATAGGAGACAAAATGGAGTGATGGGAGACGAAAAGGAGTGACGAGAAGATAAAGAGGTGTGATGGAAGATAAAGAGGCGTGATAGGAGATGAAAAGGAGTGATGGGAGACGAAAAGGAGTGACGAGAAGATGAAGAGGAGTGTTGGGGATGAAAAGGAGTGATGGGGACGAAAAGGAATGATGGGATACGAAAAGGGGTGATAGGAGACGAAAAGGAGTGATGGGAGACAAAAAAGAGTGATGGGAGGTGAAGAGGAGTGATGGGATACGAAAAGGAGTGATGAGAAGATAAAGAGGCATGATGGGAGACGAAAAGAAGTGATGGGGGAGTGATGGGAGACGAAAAGAAGCGATGAGAGACAAAAAGAAATGATGGGAATTAAACAGGAGATAAAAGAGATAATGGAAAATGAAAAGATGTAATAGAAAATAATGGGAGATGAAAAGTATAGAATAATGAAAAGTAATAGGTGAAAAATGATGAGAGACAAAAAATAAAAAAAATGATTATGATAGGAGGTTGGGTAGCAAAAGATAGTAATGATAGGAAACCAAGTAAAAATAAAACCATGAAGTAAAAATAAAAAATAAAGTTAGTATATAAGATAGAAATGAAATAAAAAATAAATAAACAATAAAAAAATATACCCTTATCAAAAAAACTAAAAGATATAAAAAAAATGAATAAAATTAGTGAAAGCGAAATATGAAACAGAAACATACAAAATAAAAAAAAATAAAAAAATAAGTAAAAAACAAAACGTAAAGTGAAAACAACTGAACCATAATTGCAGAAATGTTTTTTTTTATTAATCACTTATTACATGTTAACACAACATTCTTAAAAAATAAAAAATTTTTAGTTTTTTTTTAAAGTGTGAATGAAATAATGAATAAATGATCAACAAAATCAAAAAACCTACAATTATACAAAAAAACAAATGTTGTCAAAAATTCGTAATTCGTGTAACAATTGGAGCATCTCCTCGAATATTCCAAATTTGCGTTTCTTATATAGGTAAATGCATCAATTTTTGACCAAATCGATTGAAATTTTTACTGGAAAAACCTTGGAATTTACTCTATTATATTCAAATATTTAAAATAACCTTTACAAAACTTAATATTTCGTAATAATCTTTAAAAGTTGTAAATTAGCTTAAATATTAGCAAAATCGTCCCACAATTTTTTGCTTAATAAAAATATTAGCTAAAAGTCTCAAATTTTATACATACATACTTTTGAACATATATTAATAGATTATCAAAAAAAAAGGTAATACTAAAAAACACAAAATCTTTCTCATTTTAGGGCTAACAGCTTCAACCCTACAAAATCGTTAAAAATTAAGTAAAATTTCGTAAAATTTCATTTTTAAAAATTAAATGATTTCATAAGAACATATAACCCCACCTCCTTAATTTATTCTGAATATACTCAAAACATTTATTTTCAAAATTATTAAGTAGAAAAAAAATATTTCACTAATTGTTCCGATTGGTACACGAATTACGAATTAAACTTTCATAATATATAAAAAAAAAATATTATTAACATAAGTAAATTTATGTGTAAAACAAAGTTTTACTTAACAAAAACTTTTAAACAACATTGAAATATAAAAGTCTGACTTGATAAATAAAATTTTTTTTTTAAAAAAAAAAATCAAAATTTCAAAAGTTTATTATGTATACAATATTTGTTATTTAAATTAAATTTTATATGACCAGAATTAAATTGAACCAGCCATTGGGGTGGTCAATGGACAAATAAAATCAAACGTATATATAGTCTCCGTAGGATTTACTATTGATCAATTTTTTGTGATCATCGTATTTCGATATACTAACAATTGACTTTTATATGAAGTTTCCTATTAAAATTGATGTATTTTTAAACTTCCATAAATCAAAACTCTTCCCATTATTTACATTGTATATTTCTGCAGAAACATTCCAAACAATCATCTCTTTCACATACACCTTTCTTTTTCTCTCCAAAGATATTCCCGCTCTGAAAGAACCTTTTAGCTGCTTCTCTATGATAAATAAAAAAATTTTTTTTGTGGTTTTTCAAAAAGCGAGGTGTTGCATTGTTTTTAAAGTTATTGTGTATGTTTTTTAACTTTTTATTATTACATAAACACAAATAAGGCACAGTTTATCAAGTTTTTATGATTTCGGATTTTTTAATGAGAAAGTGCCTACTATTTCAACGTTCCCAACAATTAAAAAAGCACGTGAAATACATGGTCAAAATTAAAAGAAAAGTAAGATGATAAAAATGATATAATAAATTTATTACATAATTATAAATATATATATAAATATATAAATAAAGTACTGATATTTTCCGAAATTAATGTGTTAAATATTGATTGGTATCAAATTTACAAAAAAAAAAAAAATGACTATACATTATATTAGTCCATTGACCACCCCAACCAGTCTTATAATTTACGTTTGATTAGCTACTTTGTCATTATTAATATGACGTAATTTTAGTTGTTTACAAATATCGTTACATCTATGATTTGCCAAGAATAATTTATTAATTCCATCTTCACCAAAATTTGTTCCTCCAAATCTTAAAGAATCAATACAATGAATAGCTGGATCAGTTAATAAGAATTTATCATCAAGTTCAATTCCTTGAAGATCACAAACCACTAAATATCCTTCAGTATATTCATATGTAAAATGAACAAATGCTTCAAGAGTAAGTCGAAATTCTGTAATTACACCACTATTTGTATTAAATCGTTTATACTCTGCATTTTCAAGTTTTGATTCAATAGAATAATATTGATGATCGTTAATAATAGTACCATTACGCAAAAGTTTCACATCGAGAAAATTAATTTTAGGGATCTTCTTTCGTTCAGTAATCCGATTAAATTCTGTAGAGAGAAAAATTGCAACTGAGGAAACTTCTACTGACTCAAGATACTTTTCAAGAGGATTACATTTTCCAACATTAAGATATTTTTTTATTACCATTTTTTTTGTTGGATTACTCTTGGTATCAATAACATAATATGCACATTTTTCAGCACCTGCAGAAAATGGTTGTGAAGCAATCTTGAAGGAGAAACTTTTAGTAGAAAGATTTGATTTGTTGAAGTATTTTGGATCTTTAAGTTCATTCAGAGTTTTAGGAATAAGATACCACATAACAACACCTTTTTGCAATGGTAGAATATTCCAATCAGGCTCATTGGGATTCATATGAAGTTTTTTTAATTGTAAAGAATATATTTCTTTGGAATTGCTTCCAATAGTACTAGTTAATGAAACGGCGATAGTAATAGATGATGAGGTAGCTTTAATAAATTTTTCAATTAATTGAATTGGATCTGCTCCTACAAGATCAAATACTGGAAATTCACCAATTATACTACGAAATATTTGAAGCATTTTTTCAGTATGGTTTGTAATTTTTCCAAAAAAATAAAGGATATTTTTTGATTGTAAATTTTTTAATACATTTTCCGCGGTTAGGCCATATGGATCACCACTTGGATAATTATCTTCCAAATTTGTAAAATTCTTACCATGTGGTGGAGAATCACCAATATGAAAAAGAACCCGAGTATTATTTTTCCAATTCATTTTTGTTATTGCTGCATTAAGACCTCCAAGAACATCCTCTGGAGCATCATCATTATCAGATGAACTGGATGGTTTTACATTAAGCATATATTGTATAAATTGGTCATATTGATCGGTAAAATCGAAAATTTGTAGACGAGAAGAACCATCATTATGATCTCGATAGCCACAAAAACCAACCCAAAGTTCAATACTTGGATTTGTACGTTTAATGTAATTTATAACTTGTAAGATACAGTCTCTAGCAGCAGAAATATGATGCCCCATAGAACCAGTGCAATCTAGTACAAAGCAAAGATCAACTTTCATTGAAAGTTTGATGTTATTGAGCGTTTTGGAAATAGCCTTTCCTCGTACAAATTTAGCTTTATCCCTTAATTCATTTTCCCTTGTACTGGAAACTAGAGTATCCGCCTCATCGGCATAACGTTTCAAGCGTTCTTCAGTGAGGTTTAGTTCACCTAAATCAGCTATAAGCGAAGGGGGAAGAGAAGAGGTGGATGACATAATAGGACTTGTAGTGCCCGGATTTTTTTCATTTTTTTTCTTAAAAAGCCACTTGAACATGTTGTTTAAAAGAACTAAAATATTTTATAAGATAAAGTTTTCGAAAGTATAAAGATTAAATAAATATTGATTTTTTAAAAGAAATATTCGACTTTATATAATTAAAAAACTTGTATCACAGTCACGTTTAGATTACCTAGCGTGATCTCTGTTTTGTTGTAAGAAAAAGGCTATAAATTATACTTAATTTGGGATCTCTTCCCCTGTCATTGTTTGATTTCTAAAAATGGAACGTCATTCTATCATGATCCCCGAAAATCATTCCTCTATTTTTATGTTGATCACGGAAAATTCGGCAACGCAAAAACTCTTTCACCGTACCATTTTTCAATGTATAATTCCTCAGTAAAAAAAAAAAAAAATGAATAGTGAACCCGTTAAAGAGTTTAAAAAAACTTTACTGATAGCGTTGGAAAAATGTTACAATAGTACACATCTTATTAATTTTTAGACGATCACAGGTGAAATTAATTAAACGAGAGCTTTTGTGTGCGATAAAGAATTTAAGAAAATATATAATCATATAATGCATACTCATATAATTTTAAAATTTGAAAGTGATGTTACTAATTACCGAAAGGGGTAACGCCTATTAAGGAAATCAACGCGAGTCTAAACATTATTCTTTGAAATTTATTTTTGAAACATGATTCACATGGGAAATGTATTAACAAACCCCTGTGCACAAAGTCGATCATCTAAGTCGCTTTAAAAAAGAAAAAGGCTACTGAGTCAATTATTAATATACAATATTTAAGTGAGACATTATTCCTTCATTAAATAAAATTAGCCTCACAATATGATAATGATATAATAACTAAAATTTAATTATTTATAGATTAACAATTGAAAATGAAAATATAATATATTGACTTTCCTTTTTTTCGCATTAAATTTACTGGTTGATTTTAATAGTTACTATGGATAAAAATATTCTTTTTTAAAAAAATTCACATAATAACATATAATAATAAAAAGCGTTATCAGTTATCATAATTAAGTTACATTTTAAATTGACTGTGGAAACTGAAGCTCTACCATTTATATATGATATTCTAATTATTTTTTCTTGACTCAAGAATGTAATTATAAATATACGTTCTGTTTCTATGATAAAAATAGGTTATTATATTTTTCTAGAATCATCTGGTAGTTATTGGATAATCCATTCATATCATCCCTTTTTCTTCGATATAAAGGTACAAAACCTACGTCAAACTTCTAGTCAATTTTTTTTTTTTTTTTGAAATCCTTTTTGAAATAAATGTTGCGTGAAAATTATATTATAACTTGTTTTAAAATTATTTAAAAATTAAAAATCGAAATTTAAAATATAATTATGTACTTGACAGTTTTGATCAAGACGGAATTTTATAATATATCATTAGTATATCGAAAAATGAGATAATTTAATAAACTATTTTATTGTCTTTACCTTCTAAAAAATGAAGTCTATAGTTTATAAAATACGATGAAACTATCAATACACTATTTATTGAATATATACTGCGCATAAAAAATTCATCTTTACAGTATTAGATTTTTTATGCACGTTAAACAGGATGAATAACCTTTCAACTGTTTTGTTTTAAAAAAAACCTTTTTCCTTTTTTAACATTTTTTAATAAGAGAATCAATCGATACCCAAAAAAGGACTATTGAGAATATTGAGAATATTGAAATTTTCTTTTTAATATTAAAATACCATGTTTACTAATCTTGCGAATCATATTTATTGTCTATTAATAGTAAAATAAATAATGTTGATCATTAATAAATTGTAATGTTATTGATGTCACAAATAAAGAAAATATATTATGTAATCAGAATCTTGATGAACGACAATGCGATATAACGAAATCACATTGAACGATTTTATGATTCAATCTTTTAAATTTAGTTATAACACAATATTTTTTCTTAAACTTTGATAAAGAAATTAATGTAGATGAAAAACACACATTTTGAGAGTTTGAAATTGTCTAATGGAGTTATTATATTATAGTTGCCGATATGATGTTGGCATGTGATGCTGAGATGCTTAGATACATTGATAATTGGAAGTTATGTAGTACGATTGAGAATGTATATATAGTCCAGTTAAAATGATACTTCTACAAATTAAAGGATTAATGAAATTTATTTTTGTAAATTTGTAATATCTTTAAAAATTTTATTTATGTAATTTTTATATAAATTTATAGTAGTAACACACAATATTATTTTAAAGCAATTTTAAAGACTTCTTTTTTTATATACCACTTTAAGAAACATTAAAGGAAATTAATTTATTGAATTAAATCGCTTAGTCTTACCTACTTTATTTACAGGATCTCACTCATATCAAATTCCACCAAATTTGAAAGATTCATTATCTTGCTCATTTTTACTTTAAATTGATTTATTTATAGATATACGTTACAATAAATATTTTTTCGCGATACATTATTATTTATTGTGAGTGCTCTTATTGTATGATATTTATTGTGTCACATAGTATGATAGTCATGCTAGTACGGTAATTTCACTAATTTGACTATCGTACGTATAAATTTGTAAATGGTACTACACTGATTTATTATTTAACCAGAATTTCATCATAGCTATTACAATGAGATTTCTACCTTTTTCTTTCTCATTCACTAAAATGAAATATGTTACGATTGTTACGAATGTTACGTATACTATTATGTAATTCAGTATCACAGACTCGGGTAGTACATTTTTTTATTTACAGTGTGTAACGGTCATTAGGTTATACAACTAACTTGATAAGTCACGAATTATGACGTTATGACACCAACTTCGTCCTGATTTTTTTTTTTTTTTTTTTTTTTTTTTTTTTTCTTTGTTTTACTTAATAAAATTTAAGCATGTCTGATATTCGTGAAGAATTCGTTAATGCAGCAATTGACAGAGCATATTCTTTAATAGATTATAGTATTTACAATAATATACACAAAGAATATGAATTTAAAAAACAGACAATTCTTGTTGATGATTCACTTACAGAAAATGAAAAATCTGAAGCAATAAAAATTTTAACTAATTATTATGATATGGATAAACTTACCAATAATGAAGGAACAAAAAGAATTTGTGAAAATTGTAACCAAGAATGTTTAGCCACAGTGTTTTGTGAGCATTGTGTTCGGAATTGTTTAAAAGCAAAATTTTCAAATTGGACATCCGGAAATGATAGTATTGATAATTTAATACAAGAATGTCAAATGAAGGCAGTAACCCCAAGTCTAATACCAGAATGGATTCCATATAATAATTTAAACAATATTGAATATCTAACAAAAGGTGGTTGCTCGGAGATTTATACAGCACAATGGATTAATGGAAGTTATGATGAATGGGATTCTAAAGAACAGCAAATAAAAAGATTTGGAGAGCAGAATGTAGTGCTTAAAAGATTAGAAAATGTTGAAAATGCAAATCAAAATTGGTTTGAAGAGGTTTGTAGTCTAAAAATATTTTAAAAAATTAATAACCAAACTTTTTATCAAAAATTTTAATGCATCTTTTTGTAGGCCAAATCACATTTAACTATAAGTAATAAAAGGGGAGAAATTGTACAGTGTTTTGGTTTAACACTAGATCCATCAAATGGAAGTTATATGCTTGTGATGAATAAAATGAATATAGATTTAAGAAAATATTTACAACAAAATCATAATCGACTTACATGGAAAAAAAAAATTCGAATTGCTTCTAATATAATTCTAGCACTTTTAAGAGTTCATGATGAGAATGCAATTCATAGGGATTTGCATTCTGGTAATATATTATTTATGATGACTAATAATATATTTTGTATTAGTGATCTTGGATTTTGTGGACCTGCCGATAAACCATTAAAAAGTATATATGGAAATCTTCCTTATATAGCACCTGAGGTTATTATTGGAAAAGAACAGACTTTTAAATCTGATATTTATAGTATTGCAATGCTTATGTGGGAAATTTCTTCTGGACAACCACCATTTATTAATTATGAACATAATTATGATCTCGCTATGAATATTGTTAATGGTATAAGACCAAAAATTGTATCAGGAACTCCTTTAGAATATAAAAATTTAATGAAACAATGTTGGGATGCTGATTCATCAAAGCGACCTGATATTTATACACTTTCAGATGAAATAGATAAGCTTAATCTATATTATCAAACTAAGTCATATGAATTATTAACACAATTGGAAGAAGATAATAATTTAGAAATAAATAATGTAAGCAGCTTAGAAAATTATACAAGTAGTACAAGTAAGCTTCATCGATTTGAAAATCTTCCTGAACCAAGAAATGCAACAGAAGGTAATAATCTACTAGTTATTTACTTTTTAGTTAATTATTTAAAGAGTATTAATGTGTGTATTAATTATATTATTTTTAACTAAAATAATAGAAGAACTAGAAGGTGATAAATTATTTTAACTTTTCTTATTTATACATAATTAATATATATTTAATTATTTTTGAACTTTTAGCATTTTATAGTAAATCTTATGACTTCCGCATTCCTGATAACAGTAAGTATTATTTAATTAATACTAATTTGCGTATTTAACTAATTGATTTGATGTTTTTTTAGTTGATGATTTTGGTAAATCAGTTAATCAAAGAGATAATGATACTTTAATTAACAAAGGTAATTACAAATTTATTTTATTTTCAACAAGAATAATTATATTAATAATAAATTGTTGTCTAGATAATAGTAAAATTTTACCCGAAGTATTTAATGAATTACAGATAAACTCAAAATCTAGTAAGTAACTTAATTAAAGTAACTAATTTAATTATCACAAATTGCATATCAATATCATTAAATTTATTATTTAAATTCTTTAGATGTTCAAAATAATTATTATAGAGAAGAAATAATGCAACAACAAAGAAGGAATATTGATATTGGTATGCAAAATAATTATTTGTAATCACAACTTTTTTTTTAATTCTAATTTTATTTTAATATAGATGAGAATGAAGTGCACAACAATCCTAATCTTCATTCAGAAGAACAGGATGAATTGGAAATTCTTGATGACAATAAGGATTAATCTTTATATCAATGTTGAAATGTTATTATTTAACTTTTTAAGTTATTAACAGATTTTTTTTTAAAATAATATATTTAATGTATTTAGTTATTTAGATACGATGTATTTTACAAGCAACTATTACTATTGAAGTTTTCCTTATTGTAAATTATTTAAACACTAAGATTAGAGTAGTAAGATATGACATCTTTCAAGATTCTTAGTTTGTAATTTAAATAATTTATTCGTTTATTTATATTTTAACATATAATAAAATAAATTTATCCATATTATTACTATTTTGATTGATTTTAAACAATTATGAAAAATTTTTATTATTTAGCAATAATAAAATATATAAATAACCCAATTTTTTTTTTTACAAGTTAGAAAAAGTAAACCAAATCATAAATAATATTTGTCAAAGCGTTGTTGATCTTTAGTACATATTTGATATTTTAATTTTAAAGCTAATGACTGTGAATAAATTCTTTCAACAAATCTTAATTTTAAACTTTCAGTTATAGTAATTCATATTATTCGTTAAGAATGAACATTTATATACATATGATTTCAAATCATCTTACAATGGGTTAAATTTTATAGTAACGTTCACAATTCCTGGTTTGTTAAAATTAAATACATAATTATTATTTTTATATAATAAAATGTTAAATTTTTACGCCGATTATAAAGCAAATGTATTATTTATGTACTGTATACAATTCCTTGTCTAATATTTGTAAACTATGACTACTGTATTAATACTATATATTTTTATTTATTTATTCTTTTTTTTTTTTATAAAAAAAAAAAATATAGATCTCATCTATTGCACTGATCGTTCCGATTGTGGCTCAATGTAAAAAAACGTGGCAAAATACTCTCATACGTTAATAAAAAAAAATAATTTTACAGATAATTGCGGCTGAAAATAATTTATATTAACATCAAAATCTCGAATTTTCTCATTATTAACTTAAAGTGGCTGCTCTCCAATTGTAAATTTTAACATAGCACAATGCAGAAAATGTGTCAAAAATACTCTTGTACGTCTTTACTTCGCCCTCATTAATAACGCAATTTTACAAATGATCGCGGCTAAAAGTAATTATTAACATCAAAATTTCACATTTCCTCATGTTGCTCTGCTCTTCAATTGTAAATTTTAACATAGCTATGGCGCAAAAGAAATTCAACTTATTTATTTTCGGTCTGTGAAACGTCACTGAAACGTTCCCCTGAAATGACGACGGCTATTCGTCTGCGCTATAACATATAATTTTTTTTTTTTAAAAAATAAGGTAAACTGTAATCACGTGAATTAATAATTCCTATCAGCGTCGCAATATTTCGCATAACATATCTTTGACTACAACTCTACAATGTTAAGTCTAAACATGAGACTGGGAAGGGACGGTCAATTCATTCCGATTAATGACAAAAAAACCGTTACCATAACAATTGAATTTAAGCTTTTGGTACTAATGAAGATTCATTGGCAATTTATAAAATTTAAAAGACTGTACACATAACTGACCAATAAAAAATTCTTGTTCTGTGATTTTAGAACACATTTTTTGAAAGATGAAATGTTCCCTAAGAGAAATTATATCATCATCATTAGTCATTAAACCGATTAATTTCTTGAAGTGGAATTCTATTTGTTGCATTCGTCCCTATAAATTAATATTGGAAGCTTATATTAGTTCTAGCTCATTAACTTCAGGCCATAATAGTGAATACCAAAATGGTATTGTAAACAGTAACCATTTTGACAAGTGGTTGTACACCATAACCCAACTACCTTAGGGATAAGCATACACTTCAGGAGTGACTATATATATTATGGTATCCTTCACCACCATCTATATTCTCTATTATGACGATCAGATCCTTTGCAAGAGTGGCTCCAGAGCGCTTGGTAGACCAACTACTATATCTTCAAGACGGTGAATTTGAACCTGATGACTTATATTCAGGTACCTTAACCAAGGCTCCACTTTCAAAGATATAACCTTGGGGTGGGTTCTCGTATGATGGGCCCTAGTCATCTGTTTGCAACCCTTTAAAGCCGTTCGGTCAGCCCTCATAAACCTTCGCACGTTGCTTTCGCGGTATGCAGTCAAGGATTATGGCCAGTGGGTGATAGAATACTCTTTACCCACCTCTTTAAAAATTCCAGTAGACAGTTTAACTTCTTCAAGAGCGCTAAGGTGATCATCTCTTCCACTCAAAAAAATATTTGTATGCAAACCCACTCTATTATTTTCTCTCGTTAGGTTGAAGGCAACGTTATTATCCATAAAAGCCTTTGTTGTTCGTATGGAATCTTTATTTTTGTTAGGAGAGTTTAAAACTCGGAAACCACATTATTTAGAGTTTTTTTGTTAGGAGAGTGTAGTGGTTTTTTTAGAGTGTTAGTGGCTTTTTTTGTTAGGTTTTATCTTATTTTCTTATCACGTGATATAAGTCTACAATGACAAAAAACTGCTGCGTCACGTAGTAAATTTCCAGTCTACAATCATCATTTTTTGCCTTAAATACAGCGGAGAGTCAAACCTTGGCCTGCTTAGGAATACAAATATGCATGATCGCATGATCAATATAATCAATATTAGCAAAAAATTTAATGTAAGAAAGTTTATTATCTTGAAAATAGATGATAATTACAAAAAAAAAACTCAGCCCTCTCCGTAAAATATATATATATATATATATTCAATTTTCGTTTTAAATTATATAATAGCTAACAACCGAAAAAAATAAGAAAATAAAGAATAAATCAATAACAAAAAAATAATTAAGAAATAACAAAAAAATAATAAGAAATAACAAAATGATAATGAAAGTAACAAGAAATAATGAAATAATAATATAAAAAAAAATTAAAAATAACAATAAGATTAATAAAATAGGATTATCAAAAACAAGATTGACCATAAGAAATAACTATTTAAAGAGCCTCAATTTATAAGTTCTTCAAAAAAAGTTTAAGAATAAGAAATAGTAGTGGGAGAATTAATGAATTCATAAACAATATAACGATGAAGTAGTTCTGCGTGTTAACTGCAAAGGAAAGTTGATAATTAAGTTCCGTAATATCATAGCTCATGGTAAAACATTTACGTGCTAAAAAAGCTTTAAAAAGACAATTTTCTCACATCTTATCACTTATTTCTAATACAAAATGACTGTATATACAGTATAACAAATTTAGAGCGCGAATCATACTGTATACCCTTGTTGGTTTGAATGATGACACTAGGAAGATGAATATCAAGATAAAATATACTTCCAGAGTATGAAGTATCACTCTAATCCAAACTATACCATAATATTCAAGCGAAAGTTATTATAATCTCTACACATGAAGTTTAAAAGTGGTAAAATATTACTTACGGGATCTATAATTGACGCTTGCCAATGGAAAAGATCATCATCAATAGGACCAAGCACTAAAAGATGACGGTGGGTCACAATTGAAAAAGCTCATCTACGTAAGATACTTTATTAATTCTTTTAAATGTGGTGAAGTTTACAACAAGAATCTACCATCTGAATGTCACTGCTGATATTTGAAGTATAGACGTGGATTTCTTAAGGGATTAATGGTCACCAGCAATTACCTTATTTAGGGGTAATAATAATTTACTATGAGTATATGTGGAATTTATTATATAAAAAAATGTTAATCAAATCTTTTATTCTACTAAGTACTCTCGGGAATCCAAACCCAGGTATTATAATTCACTTTTTCATATTCATTGTTTTATTGAATGATCTGATTAATTTCAACTAAAAATAATTTACCAATAAATTAGAACGTGATTTAATGCCCTAAATATCTCAATTGTACAAGTCTGATCGTAATCGTTATGAAGCTACTGTTAGAGAATGGGACTCGTAAATATACTAATAAGACTTTTTTTTTCTTGACATTTTTAATATTTAAATTTTATTATCTAAACCCGTACATGTCCCATTAATATCTTTTCATTTTATGCTAAGATATTTGAGATATATTTATTTAAAAAAAGTTATGAATATTCAGTTTACACGAGTGGAAAAATAAATAAGCTTCTAAAAACCATATGAAATAAATTTATATAAGGTAGGTTGGAAATGAGGTGCAGCCTAAAAAACTATCAGCCTAACCATAACATTTATTATGCATAATAATTAATATGATTTTTATAAATATATTGAGATAATGGTGTAGTTAGCCGAAAAATTCAGCCGAAGGCGCAGTAAATTTTCGGCTAACAACACCCAGCCGAAAAAAATCCATGTTGATCTAGAATATTTTATTGAATATTTTATTGGTTCAACATCTACTATTTTCGGCTGAATATTTTCGTCTAACTACACTTTTTTTAAATAATAGTGTAGTTAGCCGAAATATCAGAAGCGCAAGAAACACCAATATATAATATTCCAGGAGACCAAAGCGAACCAGCAAGACAAGGAGGCAACATCAAAATGTGATGATTTTATATATATTTAATATATTTAACTTATTTAATTTATAAAATATATAAAATTTTATAATCATTTATACTTTATTAAGCTATAATAAATGTTCAAACAAAATTTATAATTTCCATCAGCAGTTGTATNCATGCACCTTCATCTATAACTATATCCTCAGATATATAAACATCTACATATGAAAGATCACTGAATTTTTTTATGTTTTTGTCCATAAGACATTATCTCACTTAAACTTGGTAATTTTTTTCTAGTTTTAGTTAAAAGTTGTTTAGTGGAAATAGAATCCATAATTAAGTGAAGAATTTCAGTAAATTTAGCAAATTTGATAACAAAGAAAAAAAGTTTATTAAAAAAAAAATTATCTTTGATTATATTTAAATCCATTTTATTGAATATTTTCCGTGTTTATAATATAATTTACTGCGTCTATAATATAATTTTCCGCGTCTATAATATAATTTCCCATACCTATAATTAACCATGCAGATCATTAGAATTGTTAGAACTAATTCAAATCGATCAAAAAAAATAAAAACTGGTATTTAATTTTTTAAAAAGAAAACCAAAGAATTTAAAAATTATTTACAAGCAAATATTAAAATTAAACATTTTAAGAAACAATTTTACACCAAACAATATTACATAATATTTACCATTAAATAATAATGGTAAATATTGTAATATGAACAATCAATTTTCATTACTTGTTACCACTTAAACTATTGTGTTACATTTGATATTTACGGCTAACTACACTTCTTTAAAATAATAATGTAGTTAGCCGTAAATATCTAGCCGAAAATAGTAGATGTTGAACCAATATAATATTCAAAAAATATTCAAGATCAACATGAATTTTTTTCGGCTGGGTGTTGTTAGCCGAAAATTTACTGCGCCTTCGGCTGAATTTTTCGGCTAACTACACCATTATATACATTGAGTGGAATATTGACAGTTGCAAATATATCACAGTTTTACATTTAATATAGAATATTCATAAACATAAATCCAATAAATCTACTTACTGCATATATACTATAATATACTACGTAAATAAAAAAACTAAATATAATAATTTATAAAGCATAATGAAAGAAAAATAAAAGTAAAACTAACTTCAACACGCAAACTAGCAATTTAAACTATTTGAATCTAACTTCAAATCTCTAGTAGTTAAAATAATAAAGCAAATATAATTCTAAACGCTAATTTTGTTGTCATTGTTTAATAATAATTTAAACAAGCTCTACCATTTTATAAACTTCTTACATTATAACTATATCGGTTTATTGATCTTATTCTTATAAAATTATGAGATTTTGCAAAATATGAATTTAAACCGAACGTCTAATAATTCTAGATAGATGCTAGTTAGTTATATGATATAAATGAATTTTCAACATTAACCTCAGTTTTAATAATTCCTTGATCATAATAATCATCACAATATACTGTTTTATATTGTGTATTTGCACATCCATGTTTAACTGACTTACTAAACTCAAAAGAAATGACTTCATTTTTTCCGATACCTATTTCATACTCATAGCACCTACGCAAGTTATATTGTGCTATTTCATTCCCATCCTCTGCCGCTTTGTTATACCAATAAAAAGCCATTATTAAATTTTTTCAGTTCCTTTACCTTCTTCATAAAAGGTTCCAAGATTATTTTGTGCAATCTTATTTCCTTTTTCCGCTGCTTCTTTATATAATTCAAATGCTGCTTCCTTATCTTCATTTGTTCCAATTCCTTTATCATAACAATATGCAACTCTACATTGTGCACTAATATATCCACATTCCGCAGATTTGTTGTAACATTCAAAAGCTGTTACATCATTTCTTCCGGTTCCGATTCCTTTTTCATAGCACACGCCTAAATTATACAAGGCTGTTTCGCTCCCATTTTCTGCTGCTTTTTCATACCAGAAAAAAGCCATTTTTGGATCCTTATTAGCCACTTCACCTCTTTCATACAAAATTCCAATATTGTTTTGTGCAAATTTATTTCCTTTTTTAGCCGCTTTTTCATATAATTTAAATGCCTTTTCTTTATTTTGTTTAGTTCCAATTCCATTATCATAATAGTATGCAACTGCTCCAGATTTCCTTGTTTGGATGACTTCTTATAGAGCTCAAATGCTTTTTTTTCGTCATTTTTAACGAAAATGCCACTTCCATAACATCTAGCCAAATTATACTGCGCAACTTTGTCCCCGTTTTCCGCTGCTTTCTCAAACAATTTAACGGCCTCTTCTAAATTCGGTTTTATATAGTTGCCATTCAAATATAAATTTCCGAGATTATTTTGGGCTTCACTTATTCCTTCACGGGCAGCAATTTTATATAATACGATTGCATTTACTTTGTTAAAATCAGGTCCAATCCCTTCAGAAAAACATATAGCAAGTCGAAATTTTCCATCAATACAATGCTCGGCTGATTCTTTGTATAACTCAAACGCTTTTATTAAATTTTTTTTCACACCATTTCCTGTTCTATAACAATCTCCTAAATGATACAGTGCAACTTTGTTTCCGTTATTTGCTGCTTTTTGTAGATAGTAAAAATTTTTTTTATATCTTACTTTGATCAATAGTTTTCCAGTTAAAATTAATTCAAGTATGTGAGAAAAAGAAATTTTGATTTCTTTATACTTATTTTTTTTTAATTTCGATTGTTTTTTGACGCTCACCAAGAATTTCATTTGCAGCAATATTTCCATTTTTTTTTGCTTTTTCATACCAATCAATAGCTGACTTTATATCTTCTTTTGTTCCAATTCCATTATCATAGCAATATCCAAGTTGATATTGTGCATCAGGAATTCCTTGTTTAGCTAATATCTTGTAATATTTAAATGCCTTAATATGATCCTCTTCAACACCTTTTCCTACTCTATAACAATTTGCGAGGTAAAGTTTTGCAATTACGTTATCATAATTAGCAGCCTGTTCATACCAATAAAATGCTTTCACCTCATCTCTTTCAGTTCCAATACCGAACTCATAACAACATTCCAAATAATATTGCCCAGCAATACTTTTATTATTTGCAGATTTTTCATATGATTTGAATGCTAAATATTTGTTCTGCTTAGTACCGTAACCATCGCTATAACATTTAGCAAGATAGACTTGAGCTAATGGAAAATTACATATTGATGCTTCTGAAAATAATCGAAATACTTCATTTGTATTGTCTGTATATATATTATAAAAGTAAAATAATCCTAAAAACCAAATATATTGTGCTCCTTTATCTTGATTTTTTAACCAATCTATAATTTTTTCATCAGTACTAAATTGTAACATTTGTTGACTGATATGTTTCTGAATTTGATCAAAAGTGGTACCTTTATCGTGTTCTTTAATAATAATTTTAATAATATCATTTATATGATTTATTTTTAACTCAAAAAAATCTGTTAATAATTCTTTTGTTTCACTTGAAATGGTTGTTGAACAACTTACATATTTTGTAGAATCAACTTCATGAATTGATAACGATCTAATCATATCATTAATGACTAGATTTATCATATTTGTATCTGCCGTTTCATTGCTCGATAGTGAGTTTTTATTAGAATTCGTTACATCAATAGTATTTCCATTATTTCTTGTTAAGAAAATAATCGATTGACGGGTTGAACCAACTTTTAATGCATCATAATCAATAATCGACCGAAGAGTTGAAACAACTTCTAATACATTTGGACGTTCTTCATGTTTAGCTTCCCAACATTCTGTTAAAATAAATAATAATTCTTTATATAAGAAAATTTTTTAACTAGACATTTTTTAAATAATACTTACTACTAGTGTATAGATTACTATACCCAATAGGTGTACCGTCAACAATTTTTTCTCTTTTCCCTTCTTTTATCTTTATGATTAATGCAGCTGAATCGAGACAAAATTGTCTGAATGGTTGACGTCCACTTGAAATTTGCCACATGAGGACTCCAATGCTATACACATCAGATTTTTTATTTAATTCGTAACTTTTATCATCGAAACAACTTGGGTCCATATAAGGTAGTACACCCATCTTTGACGTCTTAATACTTGATTCTTCAGAATTGTTTTTCGATAAGCCAAAGTCTGATAACTTAATGGTTTTTTGATGTACAAGTATATTGCTTGCATGCTTCAATTTTTTTAAAAAAATATCATCGTATCAATTATTTAGATTTCATTTACTAGATTATATATTAATTCAAATAAAATAAATAAATATATATTACCAAATCGCAATGTATTATATCATTCTCATGTAAGCACAATACAGCATTTGCTAATTGTAACGCCAATTCAAGTTTATCATCCCATTCGAGTTTATTAAAGTGTTCATTTAAATAGGTATTCAATGTTCCACTATCTGCATATTCCAATACCAAAGAATATTCAGGAATTTTATCTAGAAGAAATAAAAATTAATATAAAATAAGAAATACAATAATTTATTACCTTATATTGATATTTATTCTTACCGGTTTCTTTCTTTGAAACTCCAAAAAATTTTATTATATTCTGATGATCATTAACTCTACGATGTATTTTTATCTAATACGATATGTAATATAAAATTATAACTCAATTAAAATTAGTAAAATAAAATACGAAATTAAAAATAAACCCCATTAACAATTTCTTTAAGTGAATTCTTATGAAAAGTCTTTAAAGCGTAAATAGTATCAAGACTTTTCCAGTTAGCACAATAGACGCTTGCAGATGTACCACTTCCTAACTGTTTTATACTCCTAAAGTCTGAATATTTGTAATATTGGATATGATTATCTAATGTTGAATTTTTAACCAATCAATATAGTTTTCTTTTTCAGTAAATCATAGTATATACAAAGTATAATAATTTAATAAGCTTTTTCAAACTTTTGAACTTTCTCTTCACCTTTCTAATATCTATTGCCGTGCATAAGATGTTTATAAAATTTTAAATGTTAAAAATATGATAAATTTATTTATAAACTGCGTTTAAACTACATATTTGATACTTTATAATATAATAATAGTATGTAAAAATAAATAAATAAATAAATTATACAAATTACAACCAAGAATCTTGAATAAAAATAACTAATCAAGTTATAGTGTTTAAGTAATTTATGATAAGAAAAAAAATCAAGACATAATAATTTATTTTATATAATGTGTGTACCTAAATATCTATAACAAGAAAATATTGTTAAATTTTGTAATTGTTAATAAATATAACATTTAAAAATAAATTCTTACTGTCAGGAAGTTCAAATTCATCTTGTTCTTCTGAATGAAGATTTGGATTGTTATACATCTCATCTTCGTCTATCAGATATACAATGTATTAAAAAATCAATGAAAAAAAAAACATTATAAAGTAATTATTTTAACGATATGAGTTGTTTACGCACCGTTATCTTTAATTTGATGATTCATTGTTTGCTGTTGCATTGCTTCAATCTTATAATCATTTTGCATATCTAAATAATAAATTTATAACAAAATTAACATACTACATACTTTCAATTACCTTCTTTTAAATATATTGAACTAAATAATCTCAAATATAAGTTATTCGTTCATATCAAAATAAAATATATTATTTAATTACCTTTAAATATGTTACTTGTTTTTGAAATACTATTTTTCTTACTACTTAATTTGTTAAAATCATCAACTAAAAAAACAAAATAAGTCAAGAAATAATGCTTCATTTATATAATATTTAACATAAATGTAATTGCACTTACTATTTTCAGGAATATGAAAATCATATGATTTATTACTATGAAATGCTATAAAAAAATTAATCATGTTATCATTAATTTTAATTTTATAAATTAAATTATATACTGCAAGAATTTATTTAATTTATACCTTCTTGCTCTTCTATTATAATATTTAAATTAAAAAAAAAATAAACACTATTAATTAAATATATCAATATATTCTTTAAGCAATTAACAAAAAGTAATAAATACCTTCTGTTGCATTTCTTGGTTCAGGAAGATTATCAAATTGATGAAGTTTACTACTTGTAAATACTTTGCTACTGCTAGTATGATTTTCCATTTCAGAATTATTATTTTCTTCTGGTTGAGTTAATGATTCATTTGATTTACTTTGATAAGATAAATTAATTTCACTTATTTTATTATCAAGTGTAACAATATCAGGTCTTTTTGATGGATCAGCATCCCAACATTGTTTCATTAAATTTTTATATTCTAAAGGAGTTCCTTGTACAATTTTAGGTCTTATACCATTAACAATATTCATGGCAAGATCATAATCATGTTCACGATCAATGAATGGTGGTTTTCCAGATGAAATTTCCCACATAAGCATTGCAATACTATAAAGATCAGATTTAAAAGTCTGCTCTCCAATAATAACCTCAGGTGCTATATAAGGAAGATTTCCATATATACTTTTTGATGGTTTATCTGCAGGTCCACAAAATCCAAGATCACTTATTAAGAATTTTTGATTAATTCTAAATAATATATTTCCAGAATGCAGATCTCTATGAATTGCATTTTCTTTATGAATTCTTGCAAGTGCAAGAGTTATATCAGTAATAATTTGTATTCTTTCTTTCCATGTAAGTTGATTATGATTTTGTTGTAAATATTTTCTTAAATCTATATCCAACTTATTCATTATAAGCATATAATTTCCATTTGATGGATCTTGTGTTAATCCATAACATTGGACAATCTCACTCCATTTATTGCTTATATTTAAATGTGATTTAGCCTATTAAATAAACCATTATAAATTTTCAACAAATATTAATTTGTCAATTATTTTAATATTTAGATTACAAACCTCTTCAAGCCAATTTTGATTTGCATTTTCAACATTTTCTAATTTTTTAAGTACCGCAATTTGTACAAATCCAGATTCTCCACGTCTTTTTAATTGTTGTTTTTTAGAATCCCATTTATCATAACCTCCATTATTAACCCATTCTGCTGTATAAATTTCTGAAAATCCACCTTCTGTTAGATATTTAATATTTTGTAAATTATTATATGGAATCCATTCTGGTATTAGTCCTGGGTCAATTGTCTTCATTTGACATTCTTTTATTAAATTATCAATAATATCATTTCCAGATGTCCAATTTGAAAATTTTGCTTTTAAATAATTTCGAACACAAATTTCACAATACATTGTAGCTAAACATTCTTGATTACAATTTTCACAAATTCTTTTTGTTCCTTTATTAAAACAAAGTTTGTTATAATCATAAATTAGAGTTATTATTTTTATTGCTTCAGATTTTTCATTTTCCGTAAGTGATTCATCATTAAGAATTGTTTGTTTTCTAAATTCATGTCTTTTGTGTATATCATTATGAATATTGTAATCTATTATTGCATATGATCTCTTAAGTGCATTATTAATTGATTTATTTTTAGTATATGACATAATGAAATATGTTATTAGGCTTTAAATTCTTTTATAAATATATTTATTTATTTTTTAAGTAAAAAAAAGAAAAGGATGAAACCGGTATTTTAACTCCGAAGTTATATATTAAAATAGTAAATGTGTAACCAAAATGAATGTTACATAAAACAACACTGTACTACCTAAATTTATGATATGCGTGCAAATCAACGTACATTGTACAAAACCGCAGCCATCGAAAATTTCTCCTTATCAAAAACTTAAAGGTCATATAACATAACCGTCTTCTTTACTCCATAAAAGTTGAATAGAGCACTGACTATCATACTGACATTTGACACCTTTAATATTGAACTTTTTATCAAAAAAAGCTTGGGCTTTTTTATCGTTTTTTTTTCACTTTTCGTGTAAACATCTTTAGTCAATATTTCTCTATTTTCCAAAGTTAAAAAAAATTCAAAAAATATACATAACCTATAATGAAAAGAATGACAAAAGTTGGTTTTAATGAGACTCAAAATTAATAAAATTTCAGTAACTTATTGTCATTTTTTAACCATAAAATTTTTGGTCTAGTCTCGATCGAAAGGAAGAATTTTTTTTTTTATAGTTTAAAATCTTTTATTATACCTGTGATATATTAAGTGTGACAGGAAATACGTACACTTTAATTGGATTTTTTATAAAATTATTTATTACAAAAAAATTGTGTCAAATTTCCTTTTTAACTATTCAAATCATTTTAAAAAAAAATCTTTCATTTAGATAATGGCGGAAAATGTACGTAAAATGTGTTTTTCAATTTCTGATAAACCAATCGATCGAACATATCATATTATCCCTTTAGTGAGGTTTTGTAAACCTTTATTTAAGTTTTTAATGTCTTTTCTTAATATAAAAAGATATAAATTTTCATTTTCATTTATCCTATATTAATGCGTTAAATGCAAAGGTAGTAAACGTGAACAAATATTAATATATTGGGTTTTGTTTTTATCGCACCTACGTTATGTCGCACCCTATAATATGTTACATATAAAAGTCAAAAATACATTCTAAATCCTTTTCGATATATTAATAAAACTTGTAGAGCGGTCTAAAATACGCATAGTATAAGGTTTCTTATAGTATATAGTAAGATAGTAAGTGCATAAGGTCTCACGCCAGGATTTTTAAAAAATGGGAAATTATAACGAACTCATGTGATCAAATGATCGACATAATTAATATAAAAATTAGGGAGATGCGACATATCGCAGGTGCGAAAAAAAACATTCCTAATATTTTTATTTTTTGAATTTTTCAAAAAATTACAGTAGTACCGTTTGCTCGAGATTAACTATCACGTGAAATCAGAATTTCTAGTGTTTTTTTAACTATTTTTTGGACCTCTTGTCACGCCGCCCAGTCTGTCTATATCTAATAAAAACCTCTTGTCACGCCAACTTATGACGCTTATGATTTTCATATTATAAAAATTAAAAAGTTATCAATTATTATTTCAATTTTTTTTTACCAAAATTTTATTAATAAGAATATTAAAATATGTTAAAAATCCCTATATATGGACATTATTAATTATATATCATTTAAAATATAATAAATTAATAGATTATTTTCGTTAGAAATTGATTCGATCGATAATAACATATACCGTATATAACACAAATTCCTACCTTACAATATAAATTTTTTGATTAAACTTTTTTTTTAATCCATTCAAAATCTTCATAATAAGCTTCATTATCATATCTTTTAATTATTCCTTTTGCCTTATAAATTCCTGCTAAATTATAATTATCATTATAATCTCTTAATGATAATTGTAATAACATAGGATGTTTTCCTTTCCAATTATCAAAAAATAATTTTAAAGAATCTGATTTAATATTAGAAGTAAACCATAATTTAAATTTAAATAAATTAATTGGTGATGATTTAATTAAAATATTAAATAAATCATTATGACTATTATCTTGATTATCAAATATTTTTTGATTATCAAAAAGAATAAATAATCCATTTAAATATTTACAATTAATTAATAATTTTTCAAATTCTAATATATTATTATTTTCAACAAATAATTTAAGATATCTTAAATTTGGACAATTTAAGTATATAGCCTGAATAATTCTTTTATTAAAAAATCCGTTATAAGCTGTATCACCAATTTTTATTTCAATAAGATTTCCACTTGTATTTTCAATTAAACTTGTTAAAGATTTGGCTGAAATTTCTACAGCTCCAAAAACTTGAAAGAAAGGTAAGGATAAACTTTCTAAAGAATTTTATAAATATATATTAATATAAATATTTCATAATTCAAATTACTTTTTTAAAATGTAAGAAAATTCGTAAAAGGTGGCTGCTTACTTGAAGTAAAATATTGTATATTATTTGAAAATTTTATTAATGAAGTTATAAGAATCTTAAAAAATGATTCATTATTACTTGAATAATAATAATTTAAACGAATATCAGATAATTCTTTTTGATTTTCGATTAATTTAATAATTCCATACTTATTATTAGTCCATCCAATAAAAAGTTCCAATTCTTTGATTGATTTACATATTTCTGTTAATCCATTTAAAATATTATCATCTATTGTAGTATGACAACAAAGGAATTGAAGTTCTAAAAAGCAGCATTTTGCATCAGGAATAAGATGTATTTGATGATCAAATCGATGAGGTATATAAAGGTGTGTAAATTTTCTATTTTCTTTAATAAAAAGATTTAAAATTACACTTTCAACAATTGGAATTCCATATTTTTTATCTATAATAGTATTAATTATTCTTTCAATAACAATCAAATTTAAATGTTTACAAAAACTAATATAATCAAATAAGGGTTTTTGATATGAACTTTTCAAAAAATTAAAGTATTGAATTAAATTATCTCTTAAATCATTTGATAAATGTGAAATAATTATATCGAATAGTAATATTTCATTTTCCCTCACTAAATCTTTCCAAGGATTTTTCCATAATGTTGGAATAAAAATTTCACTCCAAGTTTTATTAACTAAAAGGCATGAATTAAGAGTTTTTTTATTATCTTGCAATTCTTTTGATATTAAATAAAGAACATCCCTATTTAGTTTGGCCATTTTTTTTTTTTTCTTTCTTTTTTTTTTTTTTTTGAAGCCCGAATTGCATGATTATTTATTATTAATTCTTCTGTAGCCTGTTGTACGAGATTATTTTGATGTAATACAAATATCGGCAGATATTTGCCATGGGGCCTTGAACAATACATTGTAACAATAACAGAAATGAATCAAAATAATATGTAGATCTTTCTTTTTTGGATAATTCCAGGCGGCATTACGTAATTCTGGTCCTGAAGAGATTGAGTGCCGATCTCTTGTTACCTATTTTAGGGTCGTTTTGCCATTAGTCATGTGGCTTCGTTATTTATATTATCACGTAATAACTTAAATTTTGATTTAAAGATACTCGTAGTTTGATACAATTTGGTTCATTCAATATTCTAAACGTAGTTGTTCTATTATATGATGCTCCTATTTGTGGATTCCTTTTATTCAATTACTGTAACATTAGATTATTACTGCAGATATTATAATTTATAATGTGCAGATTCTTGGTAACATGATCTTTCCTGTGACCATCACGTGGCATCTCCTTTTTCGCGTTTTGGTTCTAGGCTAAATAATTACGCAAAAAAGAATGCAGTGAAACAGTGTGATTATTGTAGGCGTATTTAATGTATTTAATGAAAATATTTATATATTTTTTTTCGTTATTATAATAATATGTTGTTTAATAGATCATTAGATTTACTACATGAAAAAGTTTCATGACAAATTCTTTAGGTAAGATAGCCAATTTTGCTTGATTCACTTGATTATAACAGATTCAAGGTTTCAAATAATGAATTATTAAAAATATATATATATATATGTATGTATACAAATAAAAATATTCTATTTTTTAGGATCTTTAATGCATATTTGCGTTTCAGAATAAATCTTTCATTTTATTTTATTTTTTAAAAAAAAATTTTTAAAAAATAAAATAAAATAAAAAGAAGTATTTTAAAAAATAAAATAACTAAATTTTTTCATATTGACTATTTTCTTTTTATATCATATTATCATATTAATACTATGATAGTAATACTGTAGATCGTCACGAAACCAAACCGGATTATGGCATTTTAAAAAACATGATTTATGACATTATCATTAAAATCTTGTTCTTCTTAAACGGGATTGTATTTATTTTGTATTTTAAAAATTGTCATTTATACGACTTTTCTAGTTAATATCATAATATGGATTATTTTTTTTTTTTTCACATTTATTTCACGGATTATTGTAATCATGATACTATCATTAGTTCAAAAATCAAAAAGATTAATTTTTAAACCCTAGCAAAGTAGTAGTAGAAGTCACGTGATAATGGTCGACACTTTTCGTCTTTTCGCGCTAACTAGCCGAAATGCAAAATTTGTTTTTTTAACTTGTTTATTCATTTGATTTAATTCATTTATAAAGTAAAAGAAACAAAAAATTCTATGAAAGTACCAAAGAACGTCTCGAGATTTTTTTCTCTTATTTTGTAGATAATATTCGATGGAGCAATTTAATAATTTTATTGATAGACGGCTCAATAGAATAAAATGACATTCAAACCTTTAACAATATAAGAATTTAGATGAAAAACAAATCATAACTTAAATACATAGACAAAAAAAGTATACTGTATAAAATACATATGGAAATCGTTTGGAATAAAAAGATCGGTTATCACATTAAGGTTTCCGGTGATTCCCTTATAGTACTTTTGTACTTCAAACCAGTAATATTTGAATTTACGATCGCTGCGTCGTTTCCGAATTTCTTTCAATGTTAATAAATTTATCAAATATTTCTTTACTTTCTCTTGGAGTTCGTGGCAAACCAATAAAAGAAACATTTATTTCTTTATAAATTCTTTCTCTTTTTCTAAAAGATGAATTTTACTTACAATGTGTATCAAGAACATTCTGAAAATAAATAAGTAAACTTTTTTAAACTTACCTGTTTTGAATTCCGGAAATTTTGTGATATTGTAATTTCTTCATTGAATTAACAATGATTATATCAATTACAAAAAAAGAAAATGAATTATAAATGTAATGTACATCGATATACATGAGCGTTGTGATGATTAACTTTAAATATTCTATATTATCAATTTGGACGTTCATAGAATTTTATTTTGTTTATCGGAATTTTACATCTTGAATTCCAAATCGAATGAGCAAAAGGGTCAGATCAACCCAAGAAATATATAAACAGTATATTTGTATACAGTATATATTTTTGATACGTATTGAATGTTCCTAACTGCTGAATTCAACATGTCACGATTTTAAATCATAAGAATTTAAATCATAGACGGTCACTTAGACATTATTTAATGAGACGGTAATATTTCAGTTGAAGTTATTCAAATTCTGTTTAAGGAATTAAAGCCAATGAATTTAAAAACGATCGTAAGAACAAAATTACTTTATGATAAAAATTAATAAATTAACATATATGAATTTAATAAATATTGATATTTTTATTTATTATAAATTATTATTATTATTTACCTTATATAAAATTTCTTTTACAATATTATTGTAATTGTTAAATTTTTTTTTTTTTAAAAAAAAGATTTTTAAAATAACGTTATTATTTGTTATTATTAGAGTGTAATAATCCATTTTACCAGAAATTTCTTCTCTAGCGAGCTTTGTATTAAGATGAGCTACTTTATCAAATTTACCAATATTCTCAAAGATTATATTGAAAGGAAGAAATTGCAATAAAAGTTCAGATTAAACAAATTTTTATGAATGATCACATTTGCCTAAATAATCTCGGATAGTGTCATTTCAAAGTCTTTTATGATTTATAAACACTTCATTCAATGAACTTCTCGAATACAGTAATTATACGCACATCCGAGAATTAAAAATTGTATGAGGCACAAGCGTTGGTTCGTTCTAAAAATTAATTAAGGTTTAAAAGAAACCTAAAAAATGAAATTATAACTGCACCAATACGAGGAAATTTTATAATATAAAAATTATCAAATGATAATTCCAATGATATATGTCTGGAACGCTGCTGAAACTTACGTCATCCATTATAATTTAGTGTAAATTGCAATAAGTCATGAAAAAGAATGTCTTTTATATAAATTCTTTTTGGTCGACCCTAAAAGAATTTTTCAAAATTGATTATACTATACTATTTTAGTATTGATGAAACACATGGCGAATATTTGAAATGCATATCTTTGAAATCACTTAACATTTTTAATTTATTCTTTTTTTCTTTTCGTAATAAAAAAAGTTGACTCAAAATTTTATTTCTCAGTATTTTACTATGATTAATTAATTATAGGAAACATTCATGCTTCGCTTTCTTGTTCAACAACTGAATGAATTACACAAATACTTGATATTATTTATTAAAAAAAAATAGATATTTACTAGCAACTACCCATTTCGGAAATTAGATATTCTTTAAACTAATTAAATTTATCGATCTAAAATTTGATCAGACGTTGTTACACAATTCCTCGTGACATTAACCAATATAAATACAACACCGTAAGGCAAAATTTTTTAATTTAATATATATATTATAACATTTTCAAACCATTTTGGTAAAGAAAAATGACTTCATTTAATTTTAATTTTATTTTATTAGACAAGGATATAGAAAGCAATATAATTTCAAAGAAAATACATAGGTCACTGCACTGTAAAAATACAACGGAGGAACTTATCAGTTATATATAATGAAAATATCTAATCAAATAGTAAAATATATAATGAAAATATCTAATCAAATAGTAAATTAGAGAATAATATACTTCCTATGTAGTCCTACAACCCTCCTGCCGAGATTAAGCAAAAATAGGATTATTATTGAAGTTTATATAGCATAATTAAGTGTTTACATAATTATGAAAACAATGAAATTAATAGTCTTTAATAATTTTTGGTTAATTAATTTTATTGAAGTAATAGAAAAACCGAGAAATGGTTTAAATTATTTTTGGTGTAATTATGCGAAATTTTATGATTTTTACTAATTTTACTTCATTGAGAAAATCCGTCTTGGATGATTGACATCTACATAAAAAATTGATGTTTAGATTACCCCATTTTAATTGTGCAACGTGAAATGCGTGATGCCAATTTATTCCATATTTATCATAGTTAAAATGGTCATTTGCACAAATCTAATGAATTTGATCGGATATTTTTTATAATGAGGGGTGTGCAATTTGCCGAAGCAGATAACGCCATCAAAGCTATCCGGTTAAAGTATAATAGGCTTTTTTTTACTTTTTTTTATATTTTTTTTTTCAGTTCTTATAGACTGGCAATTAATACTTTTTTTTCGGTTCTTATAGACCGAAATATAATAATTTTTTTTTTTTCTCTGTTTTTTTAAAGTTGATTTTTTTTTTTATTATTATTCATTTTTTTTTTATTTACTTCTTGAGTCTTTTTTTATTCTGTATTTATTTATTTATAATGAATACTAATCTAAATATTGATTGTTATATTGATTTAAACTATATTAATTCTGTTGCAACGCAACAAAGTTACAGTGGCTGAAATTATTTTTATTTGGTTTCATTCAATTGTATTGTTTATTGAAAATTTCCTTTTTCTTTTATGCCGATCAATAGCGTAACAAGTTATTTTATTTTTATCATCAGGTTACTATAAATAGAATTTTTGTACAAAACTTTTAAATGTTACACATGCTGTATATTAAATCTATTCGAATTCCGTAATTTTAAAAAAAAATTTTTACATTTCACTTTATTATATGGTTAACGTTATCTTTGAATTTACTAATAAAGTTTTTAAGTTAACCAGTTAAAAAAAAATATTATCTTTGAATTTACTAAGTAAATTGTAATCTACATATATACAATCCAAATTAATTTAGCATTGGAATTATCAAAAATGGATCCTAAAGAAAATAAAAGAAATTTATGGAAGGATGTTGATATTGATAAATATCAGGTAAAACAATTCGTTTTATCATTAATAATATAACATTATTTATTTTTAATTTGAATAATAATGTTTTTTTTTTAATCATTTATTTTAAAAGGGACATGTTACAATTTCTACCATTGGTTCAACTACTGAATCAGCAGAAGAGATAGATGATAAAATAGTTTATATGGAAGATTTAGAAAAAAGAAAACAAGTATATGGAATATGTGGAGAATGTAATGAACCTGGCACAGGAAAAGAATGGTGTCAACCTTGTAATGCTAAAAGATTTAAGGATAACTTTAAAAATTGGACTAGTGGAAATAAAGATATTGATGAATTTATACAACAATCACAAATTAATGCTGTGCACCATAGAAATTATCTTGAATGGATACCTTTTGAAAATTTTAAATATATTACCTATATTACCAGAGGTGGATTTGGTAAAATCTACTCAGCTGAATGGCCTGAAGGATATACTTATTCTTGGGATATTGAAAATCAAACATGGAGTAGGTATGGCAAAAAAGTTGCATTAAAAAGTTTGTATGATTCATCTTGTATAGGTACAGAATTTTTAAATGAGGTAATTAAATAAGAAATGTAACTTATTTACTTAATATTATTTTTATTAATTCTCTTTCAATGTTTTATTAGATTAAAACTCATCTTCAGATTTATCTTCTTGATGTTATTCAATGTTATGGAATAACTCAAGATCCAAATACCAAAGATTATATGATGGTTTTAGAATATTGTGAAGATGGAAATTTGAGAAATTATTATATGAATCATGAATCAGATTATTATTCAAAAATTGATAATTTAAGTCAAATTGCAAGAGGACTTCTAGATATTCATAATACTGGAAAAATTCATAAAGATTTTCATTCAGGCAATATATTATATAAAGTTGATCCATTTATAAGTGATTTAGGAATGTGCCAACCAGCAAATAATGAAAAGCAATCAGTCAAACAAGAAGGAATTTATGGAGTATTACCTTATATGGCACCAGAAGTTTTACGTGGATATCAATATACAAAAGCATCTGATATTTATTCATTTGGAATAATGATGAATGAATATATATCTGAAGAAACTCCTTATAATAATATTCCTCATAATCATGCTTTAGCTATTAAAATATGTAAAGGACTTAGACCAAATATTTTTAAATATACACCAAAATTACTTGCAGATTTGATTACAAATTGTTGGGATGCTAAAGCAGAAAATAGACCAACTGCTAAAGAATTGTATCAAACATTAAATAAATGGTATAAATGTAAGAATGAAGATAGTGATACTGAATCTCAAGTAAATGAAGATAGTGATACTGGATCTCAAATATATGAATATAATGATAAGATTAAATTAAACAGAACAAGTGAAAAAAGATCTAATAACATTCAAACACATCCACAAGCAATCTATACTAGTAGACTTTTAAATTTCAAAAATCTTCCAGAACCAGTAAATTCAGGTAATTTAATTTAACTTTACTTTGGTTGCCAAAAAAATGTTTACATTACTAATAACTTTATTTTTGAACAGACATTACTAAAACAACATTACGTAAGTAATTTTTTCTATTGGCAATCAATATAATTAATAAATCTTTATATTGTTTTAATATCATGTTAATTAATTTATAGACTCAGAATGTTTTGATTGTCAATTAGATGAATTAGGTAAGATATTTATTCTTTAGTTCTTTATTTTGGTAATACTTATTAATTTGGCTTATTTTGTAGATCTTGATGAAATTAATCAAGATGAAGAAAATAATACTGAATGATTTTTTTTTACGAGAATCAAAGAATTTAGGTTAATTAAAATTATATTATTAAATTATTTTTTTTATACTGGTTATTATTTATGGGTTTTTGTATGTAATATTTTGGTTTAATAAAAATAAATTATAAATTGGTTAGCTATTGATTGTTCGTTTATGGCAAATTAATTTTATCTTTAAACTACCCAGAATATTAATTGACAGATTTAATATGCAGTATGTAATCATGTAATGCCAAATTAAATTATCACTTATTGAATAAATTTATTATTTTTTTTTACTTGATTATTTTTAAACGAAAAGATTTTGAAATTTTTTACAAAAATAGTTTAAAAGATTTTAATTGTTGAAAAATAAAAATGAAGAATCAAATGATAAAGTTGAATCAAAATGAACAAGTACAAAGTGATAATTTGACTATTGACTATTTATGAACTGGATATACTGATAAAAGTTAAAGAAATATATAATTTCGGATTTGCCAACATTCAGTTTCTGCTGAAAATAACAATTTATTACAGTTTATGAAATTTACATTAAAATCTGTCTTAATAAAGATATCATTGTAAAATTACTTTAGTTACGCATTGTAAAATTTACTTGAAAAAACTTGTAATTTCTAAATATTTGAATGAAATGAATTTGAGTCTAATCAAACTAGTATAGTAATATTTTAGGATTACATATTTTTTAATGATAAATAAATTTATTTTGACTGGAAATTTTACAAAAACATAAAAGATCTTTACTGGGGGTGATCCAGAATTATCAATTTTTACCGGCACTATATTTTTTTAATGCTGGTCGATCATCATAATTTCAGTCACCGGTGATCATCACCCCTAATGATAGTTAGAAAATTTCTTTTTAAAAGTTGAATTATTATTATTAACCTAAATATTGATTATTGCATTAATCCTGTTGCAACGCAACAAGGTTACAGTGGCTGAAATTATTTTTATTTGGTTTCATTCAATTGTATTGTTTATTGAAAATTTCCTTTTTCTTTTATGCCGATCAATAGCGTAACAAGGTATTTTATTTTTATTATCAGGTTACTATAAATAGAATTTTTGTATCAAACTTTTAAATGTTACACATGCTGTATAAATTTATTCGAATTCCGTAATTTTAAAAAAATTTTTTTACATTTCACTTTATTATATGAATAACGTTATCTTTGAATTTACTAATAAAGTTTTTAAGTTAACCAGTTAAAAAAAAAATATTATCTTTGAATTTACTAAGTAAATTGTAAATCTACATATATACAATCCAAATTAATTTAGCATTGGAATTATTAAAAATGGATCCTAAAGAAAATAAAAGAAGTTTATGGAAGTCTTTCGATTATGATGAATATCAGGTAAAACAATTTGTTTTATCATTAATAATATAACATTATTTATTTTTAATTTGAATAATAATGTTTTTTTTAATCATTTATTTTAAAAGAGACATGTTACAATTTCTACTATTGGTTCAACTACTGAATCAGCAGAAGAGATAGATGATAAAATAGTTTATATGGAAGATTTAGAAAAAAGAAAACAAGTATATGGAATATGTGGAGAATGTAATGAACCTGGCACAGGAGAAAAATGGTGTCAACCTTGTAATGCTAAAAGATTTAAGGATAACTTTAAAAATTGGACTAGTGGAAATAAAGATATTGATGAATTTATACAACAATCACAAATTAATGCTGTGCACCATAGAAATTATCTTGAATGGATACCTTTTGAAAATTTTAAATATATTACCTATATTACCAGAGGTGGATTTGGTAAAATCTACTCAGCTGAATGGCCTGAAGGATATACTTATTCTTGGGATATTGAAAATCAAACATGGAGTAGGTATGGCAAAAAAGTTGCATTAAAAAGTTTGTATGATTCATCTTGTATAGGTACAGAATTTTTAAATGAGGTAATTAAATAAGAAATGTAACTTATTTACTTAATATTATTTTTATTAATTCTCTTTCAATGTTTTATTAGATTAAAACTCATCTTCAGATTTATCTTCTTGATGTTATTCAATGTTATGGAATAACTCAAGATCCAAATACCAAAGATTATATGATGGTTTTAGAATATTGTGAAGATGGAAATTTGAGAAATTATTATATGAATCATGAATCAGATTATTATTCAAAAATTGATAATTTAAGTCAAATTGCAAGAGGACTTCTAGATATTCATAATACTGGAAAAATTCATAAAGATTTTCATTCAGGCAATATATTATATAAAGTTGATCCATTTATAAGTGATTTAGGAATGTGCCAACCAGCAAATAATGAAAAGCAATCAGTCAAACAAGAAGGAATTTATGGAGTATTACCTTATATGGCACCAGAAGTTTTACGTGGATATCAATATACAAAAGCATCTGATATTTATTCATTTGGAATAATGATGAATGAATATATATCTGAAGAAACTCCTTATAATAATATTTCTCATAATCATGCTTTAGCTATTAAAATATGTAAAGGACTTAGACCAAATATTTTTAAATATACACCAAAATTACTTGCAGATTTGATTACAAATTGTTGGGATGCTAAAGCAGAAAATAGACCAACTGCTAAAGAATTGTATCAAACATTAAATAAATGGTATAAATGTAAGAATGAAGATAGTGATACTGAATCTCAAGTAAATGAAGATAGTGATACTGGATCTCAAATATATGAATATAATGATAAGATTAAATTAAACAGAACAAGTGAAAAAAGATCTAATAACATTCAAACACATCCACAAGCAATCTATACTAGTAGACTTTTAAATTTCAAAAATCTTCCAGAACCAGTAAATTCAGGTAATTTAATTTAACTTTACTTTGGTTGCCAAAAAAATGTTTACATTACTAATAACTTTATTTTTGAACAGACATTACTAAAACAACATTACGTAAGTAATTTTTTCTATTGGCAATCAATATAATTAATAAATCTTTATATTGTTTTAATATCATGTTAATTAATTTATAGACTCAGAATGTTTTGATTGTCAATTAGATGAATTAGGTAAGATATTTATTCTTTAGTTCTTTATTTTGGTAATACTTATTAATTTGGCTTATTTTGTAGATCTTGATGAAATTAATCTAGATGAAGAAAATAATATTGAATGATTTTTTTCATGAGAATCAGTTTAATTAAAATTATATTATTGAACTATTTCTTTTATATTAGTTATTATTTATGGTTTTGTATGTAGCATTTTGGTTTAATAAAAATAAATCATGAATTGGTTAGCTATTGATTGTTCGTTTATGGCAAATTAATTTTGTCCTTAAACTACCCAGAATATTAATTGTCAGATTCAACATGCAAAATGTAATGTAATGTCAAATTAAATTATCACTTATTGAATAAATTTATTATTACTTTTTTTACTTGATTATTTTTAGAAAAATAATTTTGAAATTTTTACCAAAAATGTTTTAAAAGATTTTAATTGTTGAAACATAAAAATGAAGGATAAAATGATAAAGTTAAATCGATAATACTAAAATGAACAAGTACAAAGTGATAATTTGACTATTGACCATTTATGAACTGGATATACTGATAAATATGTCATTTCGGATTTGCCAATATTTCTGCTGAAAATGACAATTTATTACAGTTTATGAAATTTAAATTTTAAAAATCTATCTTAATAAAGATATCATTTTGGAATTATTTTAGTTATACATTGTAAAATTTACTTGAAAAAACTTGTAATTTCTAAATGAATTTGAATGAAATGTTTTTCTATGGATTTGAGTCTAATCAAACTAGTGTTTTAGGATTACATATATTTTAATGATAAATAAATTTATTTGACTGGAAAATTTAAAAAAATATTTTATTTTTTAGTATTTTTAAAGTTGATTTATTATTATTATTAACATAAATATTGATTGTTATATTGATTTAAACTATATTAATTCTGTTACACGCAACAAAGTTACAGTGGCTGAAATTATTTTTATTTGGTTTCATTCAATTTTGATCGTTTATTGAAATTTCCTTTTTTCTTTTATGCCGATCAATAGCATAACAAGTTGTTTTTATCATCAAGTTACTATAAATAGAATTTTTATATCAAATTTTTAAATGTTACACATGCAGTATAAGGGTTACTATTTGTTGAATAAATTTATCCAAATTCTGTAATTTTTTTAAAAAAAAATTACATTTCACTATGGTTAACGTTAGCTTTGAATTTACTAATAAAGTTTTAAGTTAACCAGTTAAAAAAAAATCATTATCTTTGAATTTACTAAGTAAATTGTAATCTACATATATACAATCCAAATTAATTTAGCATTGGAATTATCAACAATGGATCATAAAGAAAATAAAAGAAGTTTATGGAAGTCTGTTGTTTTTTATAAATATCAGGTAAAACAATCGGTTTATCATATAATAATATTATTTTTAATTTAATAATAATGTTTTCTTTTAATCATTTATTTTAAAAGAAACATGTTACAGTTTCCACTATTGGTTCAACTACTGAATCAGCAGAAGAGATAGATGATAAAGTAGTTTATGTGGAAGATTTAGAAAAAAGAAAACAAGTATATGGAATATGTGGAGATTGTAATGAACCTGGCACAGGAGAATATTGGTGTCAACCTTGTAATACTAAAAGATTTAAGGATAACTTTAAAAATTGGACTAGTGGAAATAAAGATATTGATGAATTTATACAACAATCACAACTTAATGCTGTATACTATAAAAAATATCTAGAATGGATACCTTTTGAAAATTTTAAAGATGTTACTTATATTACCAGAGGTGGATTTGGTAAAATTTATTCGGCTGAATGGCCTGAAGGATATATTTATCATTGGGATATTGAAAATCAAAAATGGTATAGGATTAGTGATACAAAAGTTGCATTAAAAAGTTTGGATAATTCATCTTGTATAAGTACAGAATTTCTAAATGAGGTAATTAAAAATAAGTAATGTAACTTATTTACTTAATATTATTTTTATTAATTCCTTTCAATGTTTTATTAGATTAAAATTCATCTTCAGATTTATCTTCTTGATGTTATTCAATGTTACGGAATAACTCAAGATCCAAATACCAAAGATTATATGATGGTATTAGAATATTGTGAAGATGGAAATTTGAGAAATTATTATATGAATCATGAATCAGATTATTATTCAAAAATTGATAAATTAAGTCAAATTGCAAGAGGACTTCTAGATATTCATAATGCTGGAAGAATTCATAAAGATATTCATTCAGGCAATATATTATATTACAATGATAATTTTCCATATATAAGTGATTTAGGAATGTGCCAACCAGCAAATAATGAAAATCAATCAGTTAAACAAGAAGGAATTTATGGAGTATTACCTTATATGGCACCAGAAGTATTACGTGGATATCAATATACAAAAGCATCTGATATTTATTCATTTGGAATAATGATGAATGAATATATATCTGAAGAAACTCCTTATAATAATATTCCACATAATCATGCTTTAGCTATTAAAATATGTAAAGGACTTAGACCAAATATTTTTAAATATACACCAAAATTACTTGCAGATTTGATTACAAATTGTTGGGATGCTAAAGCAGAAAATAGACCAACTGCTAAAGAATTGTATCAGACATTAATAAATAAATATAATGATAGGTATGAAGATAGTGATACTGAATCTCAAGTAAATGAATATAATGATAAGATTAAATTAAACAGAACAAGTGAAAAAAGATCTAATAACATTCAAACACATCCACAAGCAATCTATACTAGTAGACTTTTAAATTTCAAAAATCTTCCAGAACCAGTAAATTCAGGTAATTTAACTTTACTTTGGTAACCAAAAAAAAATTTTACATTGCATTACTGATTACTTTATTTTTTAATTGACATTACTAAAACAACATTACGTAAGTAATTATTTCTATTGGCAATCAATATAATTAATAAATCTTTATATCGTTTTAATATTATGTTAATTAATTCATAGATTCAGAATGTTTTGATTGTCAATTAGACGAATTAGGTAAGATATTTATTCTTTAGTTCTTTATTTTGTTAATACTTATTAATTTGCTTATTTTGTAGATCTTCTTGAAATTAATCAAGATGAAGAAAATAATACTGAATGATTTTTTTTTCATGAGAATCAAAAGAATTTAGTTTAATTAAAATTGTGTTATTAAGTTATTTCTTTTATACTAGTTATTATTTATGGGTTTTGTATGTAATATTTTAATATTTTGGTTTAATAAAAATAAATTATAAATTGGTTAGCCATTAATTGTTCGTTTATAGCAAATTAAATTTATCTTTAAACTACCCAGAATATTAACTGTCAGATTTAATATACAGCAGTATGTAACGTAATGTCAAATTAAATTATCGCTTATTGAATTGTTTTTTTTACTTGATTATTTTTAAACGAAAAATGATTTTCCTACGTCAACTATCAATGTCTAATTGAAATTCTAATGCAACTACATCTTAAATTCCACAATCTTATTATTTACTATTATACGGATTCATCCCGTGCTAATAATTTGACTTTATCTTTACAATAGTTAAAAGACAATCAGTTAAAACACATTTACTAAAGAAATAATTGAAAATATTTGGAATCTCACACAATAGTACATTAATTGTATGGGAAAAACAACAGCAGGTATAATCAAATGTCTAAAGAAATTAGAAGGAAGAAGAAGATGAACAAAAACTATTACCTAGATAACAAGCAAATTCTACTGAAGATACCTTCATCGACCATCTAGAGAAGTCTATGGATATTGTTTTTAATCCAGATTGATGGATAAAAGGAACCTCTTCATATATTTTACATAGTGGCAGTTGGGCCTTCCATAGCCATATAGTATTACTTAACCATCCTCTCACTTTTACTGGCTAACATAGGCCACTTAGTCTTTTGTAAAGGATGCTACAAAATCCAGAACTTGGTTAGAAAGATGGTTTCACTGTGAGGCTTAAAGAAATATACTGTATAGACTGTAGGTTTAATAATATCTTTTATATTGTTTTAGTGTAGATTTTTCTTTTTCCCTATTGTATCTTTTTTTTATGTTTTCCAGTTTTGTAAATTAAGTAGCTTGTACTGAAATTAAGTGCTACTCTGCCATAAAATAAAAATTTGCAAAAAAAAATTTTAAATGAAACAAATTTAACATATGTTAGATATCTATTTATGACTTATTAATTTATACATAAATTGCCAGTAGTTTACAACCATATATATAGAATTCATTAGAATTTTCTGATTAACCATGAATTGAATATTAGGACTATTTATTTTATGGGTGCACGCCTGCACGGTACACAATAACACTTTTTTAAAATTCACAACTTTATATTTCATGATATGAAAAATACAAAATATAATTTTTAACGCATAATATAAAATGAGTAATTTATTAAAGAAAGATAAAGAGTTTCATTTACAAATTTAAAAACAACTAAATAATAAAAATTTCCTTCCTAGTACTTCCTATGGTATTATTAGTATTTCGTGCTCAAATATAAATTTCTACTAATAAATTGATTCAATAATTGTATTCCTACCTTATGATGATAGATTTAAACTCTCTTTTCGATCCATTCAAAATCATCATAAGAAGCCTTATTATCATATCTTTTAATTATTCCTTCTGCTTTATATTTTTCTATTAAATCATCATAATCATCATTTAATGCAAATTGTAATAACATAGGATGTCTTCCTTTCCAATCATCAAAAAATAATTTTAAAGAATCTGATTTAAAATTATGATTATAACAAAATTTAAATTTAAATTTAAATAAATTAGTTGGTGATGATTTAGCCAAAATCTTTAATAAACCATCATAAATATTACTTTGATCATTATAACTTTCTAAAATTAAGAATAATCCATTTAAATATTGACAATTAATTAATAATTTTTCAAATTCTAATTTATTTGATATTTTAATTAATAATTTAAGATAACTTAAATTTGGACAATTTTTATATATAGCCTGAATAAGCATTGCATTATTAATTCCACTATAAATTGTATCATCAATTTTTATTTCAATAAGATGACCACTTGTATTTTCAATTAGACTTATTAAAACTTTAACTGGAATTCCTATAGCTCTTAATACTTGTAAGAAAGGTAAAGATAAATTCTCCAAACAATTCCATGGCATATAATGAAAACCATCATGTAATTCTAATCTTTTTAAATTTACAAAAGACGAAAGAATATTTGTTATAGGTTGTTTAGTTAACTTAAAACTTTGTATATTATTTGAATATTTAATTAATGAATTTTCAAGAACTTCAAAAAATGATTCATTAGCTCTTGAATAATAATAATTTAGACGAATATCAAATAATTTTTTTTGATTTTCAATTAATTTAACAATCCCATACTTATTATTAGACCATCCAATAAAAAGTTCCAATTTTTTAATTGATTTACATATTTCTGATAATCCAGTTAAAATCTTGTCATCTATTGTAGTATGACAACGAAGTAATTGAAGTTCTGACAGACAAACTTTGGCTCCAGGGATAAGATGTATTTGATAATCAAATTGATGAGGTATATAAAGATGTGTAAAAACTCTATTTTCATTAATAAAAAGTTTTAATATTTCATTTCTAATAATTGAAATTTCATATATTTTATCCGGAATAACATCAATTATTCTTTTAATTTCATTTAAATTTAAATGTTTACAAAAACTAATATAATCGAATAAAGGTTTTTGATATGAACCTTTTAAATAATTATAATGTCCACTTAAAATTAACATTAAATTATTTCTTGATTCTTCTGATAAATGTGAAATAATCACATTTAATAATAATTTTTCATTTCCTTTCTTTAAATATTTCCAAGGATTTTTCCATAATATTGGAATAATAATTTCACTCCAAGTTCTATTAACTAAAAGACATTTATAAAATGATTTTTTATCATCTTGTAATTCTTTTAATATTAGGTAAAGAATATCTCTGTTTAATTTGAACATTTTTTTTCTTCGAAAAAAAAAAAATGACATGAGACTATTGAGACAATACGAACGTACGTATACATTTAACATTGTTAATGTAGCACAAATATTTGTGATCATGTGCTAGTTGTGTTACGGTAACCGAGCCAACCGGGTGTATTCTAACTATCTTAAATAATGTTGATATATATATATATTTAATACTACAAGCTTAAATTAAATTTCATATTTAGGCAGGCCCAAATCCTTAGCTATTAAATAAAATTCAGAAAAGTTAATCGAAAATTTTTGTTATTAACAAACTTAATTCCGTATACAAAAATGATAACAATCAATAATAAGCGTTGACCTTTAGATTTGACATAGTAATTTCGCTTGTTATACTTTTAAAAGATTCAGCTTTCTTATTATCTCAACTTCTCTAATTTGTTTATCGGTACGGTACGCTCTGATAAATTAATAAGAATAAATGATTTTCCGTAAAATTATCCGTATTATGGTTCTAACGAATTATAGTTTATTTATTCCGATTCAGGATTGTGATACAAACTAATAACGTCATAATTTTGGTTTAACTTTCAATTTTTAGTCTTTTTGTAAGACATAAACAATTTGTTGTATTGCAAACAATAAATGATTAATTTTTAAAGCACACAAACACAAGTTTCAAAAAAAGGCAAATTCCTAGGACGGTCGTTAATGTTGAGCAGAATTAAATTAAAAAAACAGGGAAAAAAAAGATTTGTTAAATAAGTCAAACTTGAAACTTTGACGCTTTAAGGAACGGACAAAAATATACATAAAATATAAAATATTAAAATATGCTGCTTTTAAAGTTATATTTATTAAATTTTTTTTTTACAAAATTTTTTGTTATAAAGTAACGAGATATTTGTATGAAACAATCATTGAAACACCCGTGTAAATAAAGAAAAGACGTTCTAAAAATAAAAAACGGAGTATTTCGCATCATTCGCATCATTCGCATCATAACGGAAATTAGTTTTAGCAACTAAACAAATAAGATTCCGTTTGTTATACGAACAATGTATGATGTGCACGTGTTACTATATTTTGTACGTTAACTTTAAAAATTGTTTCTTTTGCGAAAAGTCGTATATATAATGATGCAAACAAATGTATTAATTAATAATTGACGATCCAAGAAATTTGAATATCCTTTTTTGTTCTGAGGTACGAATTTAATATTTTTTTTACAAATCTCAATTTTTAAAATTTAATTTTTTTTTATCGTTATACTTAGGAGTAGCATCATGACGTTACAGTTATTAATCATCTTTATCATAGTATGATTTATTTTAGTATAGGCATATTTTTGGAATGTTTACACTCGGAATTTATGAAAAAGGAAATTACTTACTTTAATAATCTGTGATCAGCTGACTTCTTGAACGCTTTATTGTGTTGGCCTAAATTAAAAATGACTTTGTCAATCGCTGCTGTGCAACTGTAATACGTTTAAATACGTTTTAAAAGGCCCGCCTTTTTTTTAAAAAAAAAAAAAATTTTTTTTACTCTGTTTAAATATAAAATTTATTAATCCAATATGGAAGAATTTATGCTCAATGATGATGTATTTGAGCAAATACTGGATTTTAACCATAAGGACCTAACTGAAGAACAAAATTTGTTAATTGACAAGCTGGTATTAAATGAAGAATTAAAATTACGTTATAAATATAATGGTTTATGCAAAGAATGTAAGCAACCTAAGGCCTCCCATAATTGGTGTCATTGTAAATTTCAACAAAATTTTAAAAATTGGACAAGCGGAAATCATGAAGTTGACAAGTTTATTCAAAAAATACAACTTAAAACTATAAGTAATAGGAACGTTTTAGAATGGATTGAATATGATAGACTTGAAAATGTTGAATACTTGGTAAAAGGAGGATTTGGTACTATTTATGAAGCAATTTGGAAAGATGGATGGATAGACCGTTGGGATTTTGAAAATAATAAATGGATAAGAAGTAAATATTTGGGTAGAGATTATGAGGATTTTCCAGTTATTTTAAAATGTTTACATAATTCTCAAGATATTACATCCGATTTTTTAAGAGAAGTAAGTTACTTATTTGTATATAATTTCAAAGATATTGCCCTATTATAGATGTTAAACTATAAACATTATTATTATGGATTCTCTTTTAGATTGAAACCATAATATTTTTTTTTTAGAATATACAAATCATATAGCACAATGTTTTGGCATTACTAAAGATCCAGAATCTAATAATTTTATGATGGTAATGGAATATGCAAAAGATGGTAGCTTAGACAACATTTAAATAATAGTTTTAATTCAACAAGATGGGATGAAAAGTTGAGTATTTTACGAAATATTGCACAAGGACTCGCTCATATTCATAAATATGGGATAATTCATCGTGATTTTCACTGTGGTAATATATTAAAAAAGAGCCACTATATTGCAATTATTGATTTAGGATTATGTCGACCAGCAAATGTAAAACCATCCCAAAATGAATGTAAAGAAATATATGGAGTATTACCCTATGTAGCACCAGAGGTTTTAAGAGGAAAAGGATATACTCAAGAAAGTGATATCTATGGATTTGGAATTATTGCATATGAAATCTGTACAGGGCTTCCTCCTTATCATGATATTGCTATGATGAATTCTTAGCTATTAGTGTTTGCCAAGGACTTAGGCCAAAATCAAATTACAAAATACCTCAATTAATTTTAAACATAATTAAACAATGTTGGGATGCAGATCCTTTAAAACGACCTAAAGCAAATGGACTATTTAATTTATTACGTGGATACCAGGGCGATTATGAAATCAAAAAGCAAATTGAAGAAGCAGATAAAATTAATGAGAAGTTAACTTCATCTTCATTGTTATATACTGGTCCTACTCTTTCATATACTACAAATCCTCAAGCAGTTTACACAAGTAGGCTTTTAGATTTTAAAAATCTTCCAGAACCAAAAAATACTATTGATAACAAGGGTGATGATAATTCATTTGGAGAATATTCAGGTAATTAATTTCCTAATTTACTTTACAAAAGAATTCTTTAAATATTTTATTGATATATATAATTTTTTTTTTATATTATAGAATCAATAGAAACAATAGATTTTACTAAACTAAACCTAGGTACTTATTTACATTAAATTTTTACGTAATTTATTTTGTTAATATTTTTAATAATTTATTTTTTCACTTAATAATATTATTTAATAATTTATTTTTCACTTATAGATAAAAGCAATTAAATAAAAGAAATGAAAGAAATGAAAGGAATCTTGGGTATAAATTTCTTTATTATTTACTATTTATTTTCTTTAACATTACTACGGTATGATATTTTATTGGAATATATTTTTTATGGTTAAATAAAGTTTTATAAAATTATTTGAAAAACAAATAGAATAATAAATTGTAACAAAGTAAAAAAATTACATTATATTTTATGATAATCTTATTATAAAGTTACCCAGGTCAAAAATCTATTATGGCATGACCCAGATTTTTAGTTCGGGTACCTAATTTGAGCTTGACCCAATTTGGAACTCTAATTAGATATTTGGTTGAACATGGTGATTAGTAATTAATTAGGCAAAAACACTAAGAGAACGATAAACCATTGTGGAGAACAATATGTTAAAAATTTGAAGCAAATATATAAAATTTGTTGAACATGTTTGAGTTGAAACTAGTAGCAATTGTAATTATAATTCCTGCTTATAGTAAAATTGATTTATATGTTGATAATATGAGTGTTGTGAAATGTTGGAAACACTTTTGATAGGTAACTATATTTTGCTGTATGCAATGGGACTTCGTCTCTATAGTTAATTTTATTTGTATTGTATCAACAAATAAACTAAATAAATATGTAAATAGCAGTTTTTTTTTAATTTTGATGAAATAAATAAATTTTCATGTCTATACTAGTTTCTATTAACAATTAATTATAAAATTTAATATGATTTAATTTAAAAATAATAGGTTTTATTACGTTTTATTAAAAATTTCCGATCATCGGATAATTTTATAGGCAATTCGTATTATTGTATAGCTCATTAAATTATCCAGCCAATTGATTTAAACTTTTTTTTTATTGTACATACTTTTATCTTTAATATAAATAGCTATCTATATAAGAAATACATATGAAACCAAAATAATTTTATGAAAATTAAAACAATTAGAATTTTAACTTTTATCTAAAAGAAATCCAAATGCTTTTACTAAGAAGAATTAAAAGAAAGAGACTTAAAAAATAAAAATCGAAAGTGTGAAAACAACGTAATTATTATAAATTTTTTTTCTACATTATCTATTTAGCTAAAAAAATTCCGTATAAATAACTTGGATAGTGTAACAACTAACAAAGAAACGCGTAATGTGTCTGTGCCCATATTTTTACATCGAGGATCAAATGTGCTATTCCTTAAATTTGATTAAGCGCAATATTAATTGCGTTTATACAGTACTATACATTACTCATCGTAGAAAAAAAAAGTAGATCCGTCAAATTTAATAAAATTTTTGGAATCTTAAAGATATAATTTCCAAATATTCTTTGGTAGTGAAATATGCATATAACGGTATATCAAAAACTTATTTACAGTAATTAAGCATTTTAATGAACTTGGATGGAATAATAAAGTTGCACTTATATGATAATAAATTACAATATAAGTTTATTTTTTGTAAAGTTAAACCAACGTAAAATTCCGCCAATTGAATTTGGTATTTGAATGTCAGTATTTTTGAGCCCATCATTTATATTTTACTTTTTAATATTATTTTTTTTTATTTTTTAAACTTTATCAGTTTTACATACCGTTTAGAACTTGCATAAAATATCTCGGGTATTTTACAAAATACTTAATTTAAAAATTAAATAATATGCAAGGGTATGCCGGGCATTATATGAAGGGGTACAGTATAATATTGATCAGAATTAAGCTTAGGTTACCAGAATTGAGAGGGTATTGATCGAGAGTAAAGTTTTTACTATTTACCAAAGAGAATATTTGATGATTTTCTTTTTATCAACCCTATAAAAAATTTTCATTTATTGGAATTTTCCCAGAAAATTTTTTATAGGCAATGTACTCAACTTCATTTCATTCGATAAAGTCATTCTCTTTTATTTGAGCTTGTCGACCTCTCTTGTCAACACTTCTACCTTATAACCAAAACTTTATCATTGGCATTAAACAAATATTTATTTGCTTCGGAAACAATGAATCTGGCGTAAAAGTGTGTTTGATATTTCTGTTGTCCGCGTTTTGGATATTTAGTTCATTTTGGTTGTTTATTTTTATCACATTTACATGGCTCTTATTGTGAAAACTCAACACAATATAAACATTTTGACACGAATAACATGTGCCTGGAAGATATTTGCAATTAAGTTCCGTCATTTGAATAATTTTTATAATAAACGCGAAATTTATTTCAACTTCTTTTTTGCGTAGTGTTTACTATTAAAATTGTCAGCACTAAATTAGGGAAATGACAGAACCGGCGAAACACAGATAATTTTGCTAATAGTGATTTTTGGTACTTGAGATAATTACAAATCACCTGATCACACTAATTTGGAAACGGCGATAAACTATGTATTTTTTTTAGCATATGTTTAAATAAAAATACTTTTATTAATAAAATTATCATTAGTTTTTTCAACCAGGTGAATTTGCCTGGGATGATTCTTACCCTAATGAATTTTAGCGTTAAGATCATTCTTATATTATATTATATAATGTCATAATTTTATGTAGTAATTTATTGATAAGATATAAAATGTGAAAATAATTATTTAAATTACAAACTAAGAATTTTGAAAGAAATCTCTTCTTTACTACTCTAGTCTTAGTGTTTAAATAATTTATAATAACGAGAAATATCTCAGATATAATAATTTTGTTGTTATTTAGGAAGTTCCAATTCATTTTGTTCTTCTGAATGAAGATTTAGATTATTATATATCTCATCTTTACCTACAAAGTAAAATTAGAATTAAAATCCAATATAAAAATAAGGTGTTATTAATTTAAGTTAAATAATTTTACACACCATAAAAGTTATAATCTCATTTTTCTTTGCTTTTTTTACTTTTTTTTCGCGTTGTTTTAACGCATGCGGTAACACAAATGATTTTTCCTTTTTTATCATTTTGAATACCTAAAAATAATTATCCGTTATATAAATTATGTTTATTAATAATGAATGATTAAATTAACATAACAATTATTATTTACTTACCATCCTTTGGATTTCTTTTTAATATTTTGAATAACTTTTTACAACCAACTAAATAATTTAATATAATTAGTATTTATATATATTTTTTATTACTTTATAGGATAAAATAAACTTTATCATTAATTAAATTACCTTTAAATATGCTACATAATTTTGGTGTATTCTTCTTATTCTTCTGATCATTCAATTTATCAAAATCATCAACTAAAAAAAGTTAAGATAGTTAAATAAAATATTTTATTTTATATAAATCCAATTTATACTTACTATTATCAGGAATATTAAAATCAATTGATTTACTATAAAATGCTATAAAATTTATTTTTAAAAAATAATTGACTATTTAATAATTTATAAACAGTAAATAAATTTCATACCTTCTAATTCTTCTATTAATTTAAATAAAAAAAATAATAATAAACAATTTATTAAATTATTGATCCTTATTTTAAACATTTAAGAAGTAAATAATATATTACCTTCTGTTGCATTTTTTGGTTCAGGAAGATTTTCAAATTGAAAAACTTTACTTGTACTATTTGTATAACTTTCATAACTTTCTAGACTATTAACATTACTATTTATTTTTAAATTATTATTTTCTTCGGGTCGATCATCTGATTCACTATGATAGAATAGATTAAGTTTATCTATTTCATTTAAAAATGTTCCAATATCAGGTCGTTTTGATGGATCAGCATTCCAACATTGTCTCATTAAATTTTTATATTCTAAAGGAGTTCCTGATACAATTTTTGGTCTTATACCATTAACAATATACATTGCAAGATCATAATTATGTTCATAATTAATAAATGGTGGTTGTCCAGATGAAATTTCCCACATAAGCATTGCAATACTATAAATATCAGACTTAAAAGTCTGTTCTTTTCTAATAATAACCTCAGGTGCTATATAAGGAAGATTTCCGTATATACTTTTTAATGGTATATCTGCAGGTCCACAAAATCCAAGATCGCTAATACGGAATGCATTACCAAAATTATATAATATATTTCCAGAATGCAAATCTCTATGAATCGCATTTTCTTCATGAATTTTCGCAAGTGCATCACTTATATCAGTAATAATTTGAATTCTTTCTTTCCATGTAAGCTTATTATGATTTTGATGTAAATATTTTCTTAAATCTGTATTCATTTCATTCATTACAAGCATATAATTTCCATTTGATGGTTCTTGTGTTAACCCATAACATTGGACAACACCTGCCCATTTATTACTTATAGTTAAATGTGATTTGGCCTGTAAAAAAATTTCATTAATAACTTAATATAATATTAAAAAACTTTATAAATATTTTGAATTACAAACCTCTCCAACCCAATTTCTATTTGCATTTTCAACGTTTTCTAATCTTTTAAGTATTACTTCTTGTCTCCCAAATCTTTTTAATTGTTGTTCTTTAGAATTCCATCCAGTAAAGTGACCATAAATCCAAACTGCCGTATAAATCTCAGAACATCCACCTTTTGTTAGATATTTAATATTTTCCAAATTATTATATGGAATCCATTCTATTATCCTATTTGGTTTTAATGTTTTCATTTGACATTCTTGTATCAAATTATTAATATTTTTATTTCCAGGTGCCCAATTTAAAAAATTGGATTTTAAATATTTTCGAACACAACATTCACAATATAATGTAGCTAAACATTCTTGTTCACAACTTTCACAGGTTCTTTTTATTCCATCATTAAGAGCAATTTTAAAACTATCATAAACTCTAGTTATTATTGTTATTGCTTCATATTTTTCATTTTCTGTAAGTAAATCGTTAGCAAGAAGTATTCGTTGAAAAAATTCAAATTGTTTGTGTATATCATTGTAAATATTATAATCTATTAATGCAAATGCTTTATTAATTGCAGCATTAACTGATAGATTTTGACTATAAGACATAATGAAATATATTATAAAGGTTTATAATTCTTTTTAAAAAAAAGTTAATTTTGAAAAGAAAGTGTATCTAATTATATTAATTGCATAATGCAGAACGATAAAATGCATTGTATGGTACTACCTAAATCGGATGATGCATTTTGTCGTAAAAATCACTTATATCATTGGCTATCTTAAAAAATAAGGACAAGACTATCAGTTTCATGTGAATGATAATAATGAGGTTAAATATAACCTAAGAAAGGCAGAAAAACTGTGAATCAGTAAATATGCATATATCTTGTCCAACTCAATTACTCATTGATCATTGTTTTAACTGTTTGATCATCTTATTTAACTGCATGACATGTGATGATCATTCATGCCAAATGGTTATTTGATTGTCCCAGCCACATTAATTAATTATTTGTTTATCGTTTACCGAAAAAAATTCCCTTCTTTATTTTTTCCCCTTTTATATTTTTTACATTTAAAGTTTTGTTAATATAAATATTTTTATTTTTCAACAGTTCGGAATTTCGGGTATAGAATAATATTGTCATGACTCATGAAGCTGTAGAAATTTCATAAAAACGTACTTTTGTACTGTAAGATTTCATTATGTCATTTCAGCACTTTGATCAAACTAAACAGGCGAAAAACACCTAAGGAAAGTTGTATATAAAGGTATGAAAATATTTACATATTAATTTTCGTTTACCTAGCTTTTTACTTTCAGGGTGTAACTTAAATACTTTAGTCAAAGAAAATAAACAAAAAATTTAATAGTTATTCTGCAGATTATTAAAGTTTTGTAATCTCGGGAGGCTAGCTTATATATAATAACTGATAACATCAAAACGGCGTTATTTTTAGTAATAATTTAAGTGTTATTGCAATATAACATTTAATACATTAATAGAAAGTTATTATTAATATAAACATACTTTTTATTCTTTTTAACATTTAAAGCATATGTAAATATAGAGAATTTTTTATTTTTTTTTTATTTTTTTATCTTTTTTTAATAAAAAAATATTTTCTCCAAGAAAATGTTGTGTGGCTAATGATGATTATTTATGAACCAATCATAATTATAAAAAGAGGGTCATTCAAATGATTACTGTGCCATCAATTATTGTGTGTATTCTTTACGAAAACTTTACTAATTTTTTATATTCGTGTATTTGGTATTATAACGTCTTGTCTATAACTCATTAATACAATGTATAGCGATAACAATTGTGCATTGGTCAATTGATGTTAAATAAGCATACTATCACTTCTACGCATTATAACTTAATAAATTTTCTTATCACTCTTATATTACTCAATATTGCAAAACTTGGCTATATATATCGTTTGATTTAAAAATGCAAAGACCCTAAGAGTATATAAGTATATTCATATGTCAATGGAATATGGAAAGCCGTCCTTGACAAAAGGTTGATATCCAGACATCATGTTGGATAATGTCTAGACATCATGTTTGATATATGTAGAATAATGTTTGTACATCATTCAACATGATGCTCAAGCATCAACCGACATGATGTCTTAGACATCATGTTACCAAATATAGTAAATTTTATTTTGTGTAACTCATAAATATACTATATTTGGTAATTTGATCAGCATGATGTCTAGACATCATGTCGGTTGATGTCTTTCACATCATGTTAAATAATGTACAAACATCATCCTACATATATCAAACATGATGTCTAGACATACCATCATGATGTCTAAACATTATATTTCATGATGTTTGGACATCAACCTTTTGTCAAGGACGGCTTTCCATAATGGAAACCTAATATTAAAAAGGCTAACAAAAAAAGTGAACCCAAAATTAGAAAATCGGGAGCACCAATAGAATTAGGAGTTGATTATGGCAAGCCGAGTTGGACATAATTATCAGACATTGTGCGATAAAATATCAAGCATGGCTTGACAAAATGTCACCCCGTGTCTGACATTTTACCTGTTTATGCTTGATTTTCATCTGTCCCGTGCTTGATATTTATCTGTACGTGCTTGATATTTTTATCTGTTCATGCTT